CCAGCTCTACACCTTGTTCTCTCAGATTCTCCAGCATCTGCAGTTCCTACTATCTCTGGAACAATATAAATGCAGGTTGCTTAGAAGAGTTATCACTGTTGTAGGATGCTAATGGTTTCAGTTGCACAATATCAATTGACTTGTTACAGCACCTCCTATTTTCCAAGCTTCCTGGTGCAGCTTCTGCATGATTCTGAAGCTTGCAGGACATTCTAGTGATTTTCCTCCATAAGCAGTAAACATGCTTGTCTATCCTATCTTAAGAAACCAGGTTACAATCCAACAGGTTTATTTGAAAATGCAAGCTTTCGGAGCTCAGCCCCTTCCTCAGGCATAGTGTGAGAGAGAGGATAAGTCACAGAATTTAAAATCGGCCTTCCTCCAGTTGAGAACTTTGATTTCAGGCCGATCCTTGTCCTTTTCCATCAAGTCAATTTCAGGACCACTCCCCTCTCTTGGAGTGCCTTCTACTTATTAAAATGCTGTCCTGGATTGGAAAAGTTCTGCTCCCTTTAAACCTTTCTCATTATGACTACCTCAGTTAATGTTGGGGTGGTTGAAATCCCATGCTATCACTACCCAATTACATTAACATTTCCCTGAAATTTATTTGGATATCTGATCTGTTTCTCTTGAATGGTTAGGCATATAGTACACTTCCACTGGTTTTTAACTTCTGCATCCATCGATTTATCTGCGTCATGTTGAAATTCTATGCTGTTGTCCTCACACTTTACAATGCTTTCAAATTTTGTATCAAATGCAAACTTGATATACAGTCATTGCTCCGTATCCACAAGGGTTCTGTTCCTGAGAACCTCTGTGAATGATGGAAATTTGAGTGTGTGTAGCTTGTTAAAAATAGGTTAAAAATCGCAGATACGTGTCTTTAGCCTGCGGGTGTTGATTTTTGTTGTTACTTATTTTTTGGCGCGGATAGGTGAATTCACACTTTGTGATTTTGTGGATACAGAGGATTTTACTGTATATCAAATAAAGCAGGGAGCTCCATATAAGTCGTGGGCAAGTCCATTATAAACTTTGCACCAGCCCAAAAAATATTCCATGACCACTTCATCTGTTTCTTATCCCTTACTCAATTTTGTGTGCATTTTGTAACTGTCCCTTTTATTCCATCAGCTATAACTTTTCTGGCATCTGTGTGGTATCATATCAAATGGCTTCTGGAAGTCCTTGTGTACCACACCAATAGCATTAGCTTGATTAACCCCTTCTCTTACCTCTTCAAGAAACTCCAGCAAATTAGTTCAACATGATTGCCCCTTAGAAATCTATGCTGGCTGCCCTGATCAACCTACCTTTTTAACTGTGACTTCCAGCTCTGTCCTGAATCACTGTTTCTCGATGTTTCCCATCACCGAAATGAAACTGACTGGTCTGTAATTTCTTGGCTTCACTTTGCAAGGCTTTTAGAACAACTGCATGATACTTGCAATTCTCCGGTCTTTTGGCTTCTTTCCTGAGTCTCGGGCAGACTGAAATATTAATGCTAGCGCTGCTGCCATTTTCACTCTGTCTCCCTTCAAGATCCTTGGATCCATCCAATCCAACACCAGTGCCTTGTCAGCTTTAAATGCCAACAATATATCCAATACTTCCTCCTTCTCAGTTTTGTACCTTTCCAGTGACTAAGTTTCATTCTCTGACACAGTGGCCTCAGAAGAATCCATTTCCTTGGCATTCATTCATGTATTTATGGGATCCCCCGCCGATGCCACCACATGTCCACGTGTACATCTCCTTGGTCCCTGAACAGCTACGTTCCTCTTTTTACCAGTCTTTAACTGTTGATATGTCTTGGGGACTTTGGTTTAGGAGGGTTTCAGCTACTTTGTGTCCTTGTAATGTTGGTTTATCTTTATTGAGAGGGTGTGGAATTCTGTTTTAAGGATTTGGTGTTTTTCAGAATTCATCAGTTCTGATCCAAGTGTGTTTTTATTTGGTCTGGATGAGAGCACATTGTGTGGTGGCTGCCTGAGAGATGACTGGATCCTGATTATTCACTTATTCGGTTGTTCTCTTATTTTTAGGTTTTCTGGCACCAGTTGAGTAGAACATATTGGGTGCACTGGCACATGATTGAAATCATTGGGGATGGAACAAGTGGACAGGTGGAGAAGGAATCACAGGAGAAAGCTTCATCACTGGCTGAAAGCCTTAAACTAACAACAGGTAACTGTATCAACAAATGAACATGCGAAAGATGCAACTTGGCTTGAGGGAGTTCCCTGAGGGAAATTGAAGGCAGGCAGGCCTTTGAGGAATGCAGAAGATAGCAGGGAAAAAAACTCAAACAAGGAATTAGGGCTAAAAGGGTCTATGAAATGTCCTTAGCAAACAGACTTAAGGAAAATATTAAGACATTGTATATGTATATTAAGACATTTTATAAGTATATAAAGAGCAAGAGAGTAGCCAGGCAAAGGGTAGGTCCACTCAAAGACCAAGGAGGGAATTTGTGTGTGGAGCCAGAGGAAGTGGGTGAGGTCCTTAACGAATACCTTGCATCAGTATTCACAAAGGAGGAGGACATTGTGGGTGGTGAGCCTAGAAAGGGATATGTTGATATTCTAGGGCATGTCAATTGGAAAAAAAGTGATGTTGGTGATTTGAAAAGTAGTAAGGCAGACAAGTCCTCACTAACCTGTTGGGATCTATCCCAGTATACTGAGGGAGGTGAGGGAAGAAATTCCTGGGGCCTAGTATGAAATCTCCTGTCAGAAGGAGAGATCCCAGAGGACTCTAAGAGGTACTGTATTCCTTTAAGGGCAACAGGGATAATGTGGGAAATTACAGGCTGGTGAACCTTGCATCAGTGGTAGGGAAGTTATTGGAAAAGCTACTTAGGGACAGGATTTACTTGCGTTTGGAAAATGTGAACTTATCGATAGGCAGCATGGCTTTGTATGATGGAGGTTGAATCTCTCCAACTTGTTTTTTTGCAGAAGTGACAAAGATGATTGAGGGCAGGGCGATAGATATTGTCTACATGGATTTTAGCAAGGCCTTTGACAAGGTCCATCGTGGCAGGCTAATACAAAAAGTGAAGTCACATGGGATCTGCAGTGAGCTGGTAAGGTGGATACAGAACTGACTTGGTGATGAAAGTCAGGGAGTAGCAGTGGAAGCGTGTTTTTGACTGCTGATGTTCGACAGGGACCAGTGCTGGGGCCCCGAGGATTGTTTGAAAAATGCATAAATTATTTGGGCGAGAATGTAGGTGCTCTGAGTAAGTTTGCAGACAACCCAAAGATTGGGGGGGGTGGGATCTGCTGATTGTGAGGAGGATCGCCAGAGGATACTGAGTTCTGAGGAAGGGTCACTTGATCTGAAACATTAACTGATTTTTCTCTACAGATGCTGCCAGATCTGCTGAGCTTTTCCAGCAATTTCTGTTTTTGTTGCTAGAGTAAACAGCAGGATATGGATAGGCTGGAGACTTGGGTGGAAATATGACGTGGAATTTAATCTGGACAAAAGCAAGGTGATGCAGTTTGGAAGGTGTAATGGCAGAACCCTTCGTAGCCTTAGCCCAGATTGATCTCGGCGTACAGGTCCATAGTTTCCTGAAAGTGGCAGTATAAGTGGATAAAGTGGTCAGGAAGGCATGTATAGCATTCTGGCTTTCATTGGTCAGGGTATAGATTGGCTAGTCATGATGTAGCTGTATAGAATTTTAATTAGGCCACATTTCGAATATTGTGTACATTTCTGGTCACTGCACTACCAGAAGGATGAAGAGGCTTTGGAGGGGGTACAGAAAAGGTTTACCAGGATATTGCCTGGTTTGGAGGGTATTAGTTTTGAGGAGAAATCAGACAAACTTGGTTTGTTTTCATTGAGTATATCAGAAGCTGATAGAAGTTTACAAAATTGAGAGGCATGAATAGAATGGATATTGGGTCTTTTTCCCAGGGTAGAAATGACAATTATTAGGAGGCATAGGTTTAAGGTAAAGGGGCGGTTTAAAGGAGATGTACGACACAATTTTTTTTTATAAGCGAGGGTGTTAAGTGCCTGGAATGCGCTGCCAGAGGAGGTGGTAGAAGTAGATAAAGTAGCAACATTTAAGAGGCACCTTGACAGATGTATGAATAGGCAGGGAATAGAGACGTATGGACTGCATAGAGGCAGTCTGTTTTTAAGTTTAGAAAGGCATCTTGTTGGTGCAGACTTGGAGGGCTAAATGGCCTGCTCCTATGATGGACTGTGCTTATTTTTTGTTGTTTGCTGGGAGAAGACCGAATTGAAATTTATTAGGGGGTTTGACAGGTTATGTGCAGAAAGGTTGTTTCCATTGTGGACCATCTAGGATCAGGGCACGTAATCTTAAAGTAAGGCATTGCATAGTTTGGGGACAGTTGAAAAGGAGTTTCTTCTCTGAGCGTAGTAAATCTGTGGAATACTTTATCGCAAAGGGCTGTCAAGGTTTGTTTGTTGACTAAACTCAAGACTGAGAGATTTTTAATCAGCAAGGGTTATGGGAGATAAATCAGGAAAATGGATTTGAGGATTATCAGATCAACTGTGATCTCATTGAATGGTGGAGAAAACTTGATGGGCTGAATGGCCTACTTCTGTTCCTCTGTTGTAAGGAACTTGGTGAAATTGCAATCACTAGGTAACTGGTAACGAGCAGTCTGATGTAGCTGCAAGCTGAAGTGACCATGGGTCCTGATGGACGACAACTTAATCTCTTGAAAGAGGTGATTAATGAGGTTGTGGATGCAATATTTCTAGTTTTCCAAAATATGATCAGTTCTGGAGATGCTCCATCAGATTATAAAGTAACAAATAACTCCTGTTTTTAAGTTGAGATGGGGGTGGCAGAAAAACAGAAAGCATATGCCTCAGCTTGATGTCTGCCATAGGGAAAATGTTAAAATTAATCATTATGGAGGCTATAGCTGGGTACAAACTTGGCTTAGGCAATCTCATCCAGTTCTGGTGTCTTCTCAACTTGAATTGCTGACAGGTTGTCCAATACCTACTCCTTACCAGCTTTAAAGCATTTATGACTGAGTTTCTTCCTCTATTACCAGAGCCTGGGCAACATTTGCTTCATGGATTAAAAACAAATGCAAAATATTCAGTTAACATCTCGGTCGTGCTGAATTTCTTCATCCTTCTGTGTAAACCCTGTTTGTTCCCCAGTCAAAGATTGGCAGCTAACATAAAGGAAACTCCCGACTTCCCATATTTGCATTACAAGGTAGTGAATGGCAATAGTGAATTGCTGTTTAGTTTTTGACATGTTGACTGAGAAAGGAGTCTGCCACATCGAATTCTTCAATTCCCTTATCATCATTACACATCTTTTTCATACATTGCATTTCACAGTAAGTAAAGGGCCTTTGATCGTTTTTCAAAGTTGATTTTTTTAGCTAAGTTCACCAATTTTTCTGCATATTTGTTTTGCCACCTCCTTCCAGTATTAAATGGTCAGTAGACTACACCTGTTAGTGTGATTGTTCCTTTATTACATTTCATTGAGATTCACATGGTTCCTTTTTTGTCTTGCTGTTAGTTATATCTGTTATTTGTCCTGCTATCTGGTTCGTGCCAAAAAATGTAGTTAAATTGAGGGAGGAAATTCAAAGAAACACAAATGCAAGTTAAGGAAAAGAAAATAGGCCAGATTGGATGTAATCTGTTTCATCAGAGAGAATAGGTTAAAGTACTGTCTACTAGGGCAATTTTGTTTGGGGAATTTCAAAAAAGGATGGAAGCAGATTGTACAGGTTTGGAGAACTGAGAGATTTGAGGCTATGGAGGGAAGATCTCCTGAGAGGATGAAATCCGTAATTGTCATGGGAACTAGTTGACATTTGTTGGTGGGGTTATGGCCGAGCAGGTGGTAATAGATGGGATTGGAGTGTTGGCATTACCTCCTAAGTAGAGGTTGGCTCATGAACAGCAGCTGCCCCATCCTCATCGATGGCTTGGGCTTGAGATTGCAGAATGCTGTCAGTTCAGAAGGAAATAAGTGTATGAGGGAGCAGAAATAGGTGATAGCCAAGTGGTATTATCACTTGATAATTAATCCCGAAAACCAGCTAATGATCTGGGGACCAGGGTTTCAATCCCACCACAGCAGATGCTAGAATTTGAATCCAATAAGAAAAAGTCTGGAAAAATTCTTGGAATTAATAATCTACTGACCACCATGAAATCATTGTTGATTGTCGGAAAAACCCATCTCGTTCACTGATGTCCTTCAGAGAAGGAAATCTGCCACCCGCACCTGGTCTGGCCTACGTGTGACTCCAGACCCATAGTAATGTGGTTGACTCTCAGTTGCCCTCTGAAATGGCCAAGCAAGCCATTCAGTTGTACCAGTTGCTACAAAGTCTCAAAGAAATGAAACTGGATGGATCACCAGGCATCGACCGAAGCACAGGCAAAGACCAGCAGAGACAGCCCTGTCGACCCTGCACATTTCTCCTCACTAACGTCTGGGGGCCAGTGCCAAAATTGGGAGAGCTGTCTCACAGACTAGTCAAGCAACAGTCATACTCACAGAATCATACTTTACAGGCTGTGTCCCAGACACTACTATCACCATACCTGGATATGTCCCATCTCACCGGCAGGACAGACCCAGCAGAGGTGGTGGCACAGTGGTATATAGTCGGGAAGGAGTTGCTCTGGGAATCCTCAACATTGACTTTGGACCCCATGATGTATCATGACTTCGGGTTAAACATGGGCAAGGAAACCTCCTGTTGATTACCATGTACCGTCCTCCCTCAGCTGATGAATCAGTACTCCTCAATGTTGAGCAACACTCAGTCGAAGCACCAAGGATGGCAAGGGCACAAAATGCACTCTGGGTGGGGGATTTCAATGCCCACCACCAAGAGTGGCTCGGTAGCAGTACTACTGATCGAGCTGGTCGGGTCCTAAAGGACATAGCTGCTAGACTGGGTCTGCAGCAGGTAGTGAGGGAACCAACAAGAGGGAAAAGCATACTTCACCTCATCCTTACTAACCTGCCAACTTCAGTTGCATCTGCCCATGACAGTATCGGCAAGAGTGACCATTGCACTATCCTTGTGGAGACAACGTCCCGCCTTCACATTGTAAACAACCTCCATTGTGCTGCATGGCACTATCACCATGCTAAATGGGACAGACTTCGCACAGATCTAGCAACTCGACTGGGCATCCATGAGGCACTGTGGGCCATCAACAGCAGAATTGTACTCCAGCGCAATCTGTAACCTCATGGCCCATATCTCCCACTCCCCCCGTTACCGTCAAGCCAGGGGATCAACCCTGGTTCAATGGAGAGATCAGGAGGGCATGCCAGGAGCAGCACCAAGCATACCTGAAGATGAGGTATCAATCTGGTGAAGCCACCAAACAGGACTACTTGCATGCCAAACAGCGAAAGCAGCAAGTGATAGAGCAAAGTGATCCCACAGCAACGGATCAGATCTAAGCTCTGCAATCCTGCCACATCTATTCGTGAATGGTGGTGGACAAGTCAACAATTCATTGAAGGAGGAGGCTCCATAAATATCCCACATCAGTGCAAAAGTTAAGGCTGAAGCTATTGCAGCAATCTTCAGCTAGAAGTGCTGAGTGGATGATCTACCTCAGCCTCCCCAGCATTTCGAATACCAGTCTTCAGCCAATTCGATTCACTCCATGTGATATCAAGAAACAATTGGAAACACTGGATACTGCAAAGCCGACATGCCCTGATAACATTCCGGCAATAGTACTGAAGACTTTGCTCCAGAACTTGCTGCTCCCCGAGCCAAGCTCTTCCAGTACAGTTACAACACTGGTATCTACCTGACAATGTGGAAAATTGCCTAAGTATGTCCTGTACACACAAAGCAGGACATATTACCCAGCCAATTACCGCCCCATCAGTCTACTCTCGATCATCAGTAAAGTGATGCAAGGTGTCATCAACAGTGCTATCCAGCAGCACCTTCTCAGCAATAACCTGCTCAGTGACGCCCAGTTTGGGTTCCGCCAGGGCCACTCAGCTCTTGATCTAATTACAGCCTTCGTTCAAACACGGACAAAAGAGCTAAATTCCAGATGTGAGATGAGAGTCACAGCCTTTGATATCAAGGCTGCATTCGACCGAGTGTGGCATCAAGGAGCCCTAGCAAAACTGGAATCATTGGGTATTGGGGCAAACTCTCCGGTGTTTGGAGTCATACCTGACACCTAGGAAGACGGTCGTGGTTGTTGGAGGTCAATCATTGCAGCTCCAGGACATCTCTACAGGAGTTCCTCAGGCTAGTGTCCTAGGCCCAACCATGTTCAGCTGCTTCATCAATAACCTTCCCTCCATCATAAGGTCAGAGCTGGGGATATTCGCTGATGGTTACACAATGTTCAGCACCATTCGTGACTCCTCAGATACTGAAGCTGTCCATGTCCAGATCTTGTTGCATTTGAACAATGTCCAGACTTGGGCTGACAAATGGTGTGACATTTGTGCCACACAAATGCCAGTCTATGACCATCACCAATAAAAGACAATCTCTAACCACCGTCCCTTGACAATCAATGGTGTTACCATCACTGGATCCCCCACTATCAACATCCTGGGGGTTATCGTTGACCAGAAACTCAACTGGACTAACCACATTAAGCACTGGCCACAAGAGCAGGTCAGAAGCTAGGAACACTGCAGTGAGTTACTCATCACCTGACTCCTCAGAGCCTGTCTATCATCTACAAGGCACAAGTCAGGAGTGTGATGGAAAACACCCTACTTTACTTGTGTGCAGCCCCAGCAACACACAAGAAGCTTGACACCATCCAGGACAAAGCAGCCCGCTTGACTGGCACTATATCCACAAGCATCCACTCCCTCCACCACCGACACTAGTCGCAGCAGTGTGTACTATCTACAAGATGCACTGCAGAAATTCACCACAGATCCTCAGACAGCACCTTCCAAGTCCACGATCATTTCCATCAGGAAGGACAAGGGCAGCAGACATGGGAACACCACAACCTTCACGTTCTCTCCAAGCCAGTCACCATCCTGACTTGGAAATATATTGCAGACCCTTCACTGTCGCCGGGTCAAAATTCCCTCCCTTATGACATTGTGAATCAACCCACAGCAGTGGACTGCAGTGGTTCAAGAAGGCAGGTCACTACCACCTTCTCAAGGGAAACTAGGGATGGGCAAGAAATACTGGCCAGCCAGCGACACCCACATCCCACAAATGAATAGGAAACAGTGGTTCATGTAAGACTTCTCAATGAGCAAATTGAGAGGGCAAGGGGCAACAGGCAAATGCTTGAGGTGGGGGTGTAAGGCTTTGAAGCTAATGCCGTTGCTTTTTATATCATGAGTGAAAATTAACGAGTTTTATGAATGTAACTATTTCAAGGCATGGTACCAGTGGACACATTATTGAACACTTCCAGCTCAAGCTCCAGACCCATGCATTCTGATGAATTAGGATGAACACAGATCCTGTTGCACATTTTATTCCTGGGGTAAGAAGGTCAAAGGGATGGGGTTGGATGATGTTGGGAGCGCGCAAGCCCAGGTCACTGAATGAAATAGGAGCAGATGGCAGACATGGTTTATGCCCAGAGTGTGCTAACTAGAGCTTGGCTGTTGATGGGAAAAGTTTAATGAGCTCACTCAGGTGATCAGGGTATCTGAATGCACTTCTACTTCATGTCTTGCACTGTTCAATGCATCGTACCTCAATCACTGAGTATCTAAGAGTACAACGAAATCTTGATCAGATGGGCTAATAGGTTTTATTTGGGATAAATGTGAGGTATTGCATTTTGGTAAGACAAATCAAGGTAGATATTATGCAGTTAATGATAGGGCCTTAGGGAGTGTTGTTGAATAGAGGGACCTATGGGTGCAGTGGTACTGCAGGTAGAAAGGGTAGTGGAGATGGCATTTAACATCCTTTCCTTTATTGCTCAAGCCATTGAGTACAGGAATTTGGACTTCCTGTTGCGGCTGTACAGGACATTAGTAAGGCCACTTTTAGAATAATGCATGCATTTCTGGTTGCCTTCCTACAGGAGCGATGTTGTTAAACTTGAAAGGGTGCAGAAAAAATTTGCAAGGATGTTTGCCAGATGGTTTGAGTTATAAGGAGAGGCTGGATAGGCTGGCACTTTTCCCTGGAGCTGTTGTGGGAACCTTTTAGAGGTTTATAAAAATCGTGAGGGGCATGGATAAGGTGAATAGCCAAGGTCTCTTCCCTGCCATAGGTGAGTCCAAAACGAGACAGCATCAGTTTAAGGCAAGAGGGGAAAGATTTAAAAGGGATCTAAAAGGCAAGCTTTCCATTCCAAGGGTGGTGAGTGCATAGAATGAGCTGCCAGCAGAAATGGTAGAGGCGAGTACAATTACAGCATTTAAAAGACATTTGGATGGATATATGAATAGGGACGGTTGAAAGGGATGACAAACACAGGCGAATGGACTAGTTTAGTTTGGGGTACCTGGTCGGCATGGATGAGTTGGACCAAAAGGTTTGTTACCATGCTGTATGTTTCTATGGCTCTGATTTCCTTTGATAATGGGACGTGGATATCCCTGGCTAGACTGGCATTTTTTGCCCATCCCGACTTCTCAGGGTAGTTAAGAATCATTTACTTTACTGTGGATCTGAAGTCATATGTAGGCCAGACTAGGTAAGGAGAGTTCATTCCCTAAAAAGCATTAGTAAACCATAAAGGAGAGATTAAAATTTCCTATGTGGGGTCACGAGTACAGTATAAGAGCTGTTCTTGAAATAAGTAATGGTGTCAAAGCAAAGGGGCAGAAGGATCCAGAGGGATGCTGGTACCCTTGAGCTGTTCAGCTTGTGAAAAGCAGTTTTGTTAAATGCCGAATGTGATGAAGGGTGAAATTAAACTGATTGTATGGCTTTGCGATGGAGTGAGTCAGTACTACTCCAAGGGTTGATGATAGGAATTAGTGATAATGTAGTTGAATGCCAAGAGTTGATGGTTAGATTCTCTCTTGTTGGATGTGGTCATTGCCCGGCACTTGGGGCACTAATACTACTTGTCTCTTACTCTCGAACTCTGTTCCCTTCTGGGTGATTCAATTCTGCTGCTTCATCAATCTTTCTTCAGTTTCTTTTTTGTTTTCCTTTGTATTTGAACAATGTTGCACAGTGAACAACTTGGACCTCCAACAGTAATTCAAACCTTTTGTTATTTTGAAGGTGAATTGACCTATCTCAAAAACTGATTTTTCAAAGAAAGCATTCACGATTCTAGTGAAATGAGAATCTCCAGAGAATACACTCACTTTTTCAAGCTGTATTGTAATTTTAAAAATGTTGTTTTCCAGTTGCCCAGACGTTTTTCCATAAGCCACCAGGTGGATTATACTCGCTGCCTTATCTGTCGGAGAGCATTGCTGAGGATTCCTCTATGCTCAGCCGCTCAGAATGGTGGGAGGTGCTTTTCTTCATCAAGAAGTTGGAACCAAAACAGCAGCAAGAAGCTATTGACATCATTAGACAGAATTTGGAAGATCAGGTCAGAATGAAATGATGGCTGAAAGCCAGGAGATGCATGGTTTGAGATGCAAGGTTTGGCTGTATCAACCCAAATCTAGAATGTCATTGCTGCTGTGGATAACCACCTTGCCAATTTAATGTGACATTCTAATAATTTTTTTAAAAATCCATTAAGCTATAGTGATCATATTAGCTTTGCTTAAGTCTGTTGTCTTTTCCTTCGCTAACAGCCTTGTGGGTTGTCTGCACCAAATGAACTGCAGCAGTTCAAGAAGGCAGTCTCCACCACCTTCTGAAGAGCAGCTTGGGATTAGCAATAAACGCTGGCCCAGCCAATAGAATATTCAACTGTGGGAATTGGACAATGGAGTCTAATCCTGTAACCTATTTTTTAACTCTCACTTTGCAGCAGGTTTGCAAAATGCAAATCAACAACTGGGATCCTGGCTGATTGTCTTTGGGCTGTGGAAGACCAATTCAGGATTCTGAAGCGATTTTGTTTTTTCTCTTTTGCACACATTTTGCGAGTGTAAATCACCAGATGAGCATTTGTTGTAGATCCCCAGTTGCTCTCGACGGTGTTGATGAGCTACCTCTTCAGACTGTATCCATCTGGTCAAGCTATTCCTACAAAGCTGTTTTTAGTTTTATCTTGTATGTTTGATAGAAGTGAGTGACTGTTGGGCCTTTTTGAAAGGCAGTTGAGAATGAGCCATTTTACTTCAGATCTAGAGTTTGTGTGTAGCTCAGACCAGGTTAAGAACAGCAGGGGAGGTGACAGCCTAGTGGTATTTTTACTCGTCTCTTAATCCAGAGGCTCAAGCTAGTGTTCTGGGGACCAGGATTTGAATCCCATTATGGCAAATTGAGTCTAATGACCATGAAATCACTTGTCGTTTGTTGGAAAAACCTACCTAGTTCTCTAATGTCCTTACCTGGTCTGGCTACATGTGACTCCAGATCGTCAGCAATGTGGTTGACTCTCAAGTACTCTCTGGGCAATAAACGCTGGCCTGGCCAGTGGCACCACATCTTGTGAATGAAAATATAACACCTAGTGAATAAGATGGCCTTTAATGAGAGCACTAGTTTTATGACCACAATTACTAGTATTAGCTCTTTAGTTCAGTCATATTTAATTCAGTGTAAATTCCCCAGCTGCCATGTTGGGGCCTCATGCTGCTGGGTCATTAGTCCAGGCGTCAGGATTATAGAGAGTAACATAACTAAATGCTACCATGTGCAGTGTAGCAGGCATCTTACAAAAAAGCAAAGAGTAGTGGGAAACGAGTAAACTGGGAAATCTTTAAAGGCCAACAGAAAGCCACAAAAAAAGTTATAAAGAAAAGTAAGATTATGAGAGTAAACTAGCTCAGAATATAAAAACAGGCAGCAAAAGTTTCTATAAATATGTAAATCGTAAAAGAGTGGCGAAGGTAAACATTGGTCCTTTAGCGGATGAGAAGGCCAATTTAATAACTAGGAATGAGAAAATAGCCAAGACATTAAACAGTTATTTTGTGTCAGTCTTCACAGTGGACCGAGAAACTATCATTATCACTAAGGAGGCAGTGTTGGGCAAGCTAATGGGGCTAAAGGTAGACAAGTCTCCTGGCCCTGATGAAATGCATCCCAGGGTACTAAAAGAGGTGATGGTGGAAATAGCAAATGCGCTGGTAATTATTTACCAAAATTCACTGGACTCTGGGGTGGCTCCCTCAGATTGGAAAACAGCCAATGTGACGCCACTGTTTAAAAAAGGAAGTAGACAAAAAGCAGGTAACTATAGGCCAGTTAGCTTAACTTCGGTAGTGGGGAAAATGCTTGAATCTGTCATTAAGGAAGAAATAGCAAGACATCTGATATAAATTGTCCCATTGGGAACACCCAGCATGGGTTCATGAAGGGTAGGTCATGTTTAACTAATTTGGTGGACTTCTTTGAGGACATTACTTGCATGGTGGACAATGGGGAACCTGTGGATGTGGTGTATCTGGATTTCCAGAAGGCATTTGACAAGGTGCCACACCAAAGGCTGCAACATAAGATAAAGTTGCACGGTATTACAGGTGATGTATTGGCATGGATAGAGGATTGGTTGACCAGTAGAAAGCAAAAAGTAGGGGTAAATGGGTGTTTTTCTGGTTGACGGTCAGTGGCTAGTGGTGTGCCTCAGGGATCAGTGTTGGGACCGCAATTGTTTACAATTTACATAGATGATTTGGAGTTGGGGACTAAGTGTGGTGTGTCAAAATTTGCAGATGACACTAAGGTGAGTGGTAGAGCAAAGTGTGCAGAAGACACTGAAAGTCTGCAGAGGGATATAGATAGTCTGAGTGAGTGGGCAAAGGTCTGGCAGACGGAGTACAATGTTGGTAAGTGTGAGGAATAACAGCAAAATGGACTATGTTTTAAATGGTAAAAAATTGCAGCACACTGCTGTACAGCGGGACTTGGGTGTCCTTTTGCATGAATCGCTGAAGGTGGGATTGCAGGTGCAGCAGGTGATTAAAAAGGCAAATGGAATTTTGTCTGCTATTGCTCGAGGGATGGAGTTTAAAAACCGAGAGGCTATGCTGCAGCTGTACAGGGACGTGGTGAGGCCACACCTGGAGTACTGCGTGCAGTTTTGGTCTCCTTACTTGAGAAGAGATATACTAGCACTGGAGGGGGTGCAGAGGAGATTCACTCAGTTGATTCCAGAGTTGAGAGGGTTGGAGTATGAGGAGAGACTGAGTAGACTGGGATTATACTCATTGGAATTCAGAAGAATGAGGGGAGATCTTGTATAAACATATAAGATTATGAAGGGAATAGATAAGGTGGAGGCAGGGAGGTTGTTTCCGCTAGCAGGGGAAACTAGGACTAGATGGCATCACCTCAAAATAAAGGGAAGCAGATGTAGGACTAGGGTCAGGAGGAACTTCTTCACCCAAAGGGTTGTGAATCTGTGGAATTCCCTGCCGAGTGAAGTGGTTGAAGCTACCTCGCTGAATGTTTTTAAGGCAAGGCTGGATAAATTTTTGAACAGTAAAGGAATTAAGGGTTATGGTGAGTGGGCAGGTAAGTGGAGCTGAGTCTTGGGGATCAGCCGTGGTCTTGTTGGATGGCGAGGCTGGCTCGAGGGGCCGGGTGGCCTGCTCCTGCTCCTGGTTCTTATGTTCTTGTGTTCATATCTCCCTGGTTGAGGTCAGAAAGTTGTGGAAGTTTGGTGTTTTGGCCCATCTGACTCTGTTTCGCTTTACTACATGTGAAGTATTAGCTGGAGCTCTATTGAAATGTTCGAATCAAAAACGTTGATAAAATATAATACAAAGTTAAAATAATCGTGAAGTGTCATGTAAAGTTAGAGATATCAACATGTCGTTATTTATTTAGAATACGAGTTGTCAATTACCGGTAATGTTTGAATCCGTTTTGAATCCCTTCTGCAGATTTCAGAAATTGATGAGAGTGTGTTGATTCAGTTGACTGTACCATCAGAACTTGCACAGAAGCTGCTTCAGTTCTTGAGACCCTTTTGCCCTTCGGCCTACCTGAATGATCTAGAGTGCTCCCATGTTTATACTAAACACTACTTAAAGAGGAAAGGGCTGGATCAAGACAGCCTCTCAAGTGCGTTAACCAACGTTGAATATGTTTCCCTGCCTGGCACCGCTGGTTCAGTTGTTATGGGATCATCTGTCTCCCAGTCGAAGAAAGCCAAGAAAGAGGTTTCTCCAGATACTACAAACACCACAACTATTTTAATCAAAAATGATGCTGCACAACCACTAGAGATGGGAAAAATGGAGGAGTTGGAGCTACCTGATGATCTTGAAGAGAAACTGAAAGGTCAGTGTTCCTGGTGCTGGGGAGAGTCGGGGTCTGATTTTTACGTCCTTAATTTTCTTTTCTGTTTTATGGGATGTGGGCATCATTGGTTGGGCTGGCATTTTTGACCATTTATAATTGCTTTTGAACTGAGTGGTTTTTTAGCCATTTCAGAGAAATGTTGAATATCAACCATGTTTCTACTCACCAGCTAATGTAGTAAAACTGTACCCAATGTAACTCCCTGGGCATAAACATGTGGAACAGCAGCATATGTGGGTGTTGGTTTAAAATCCTGACTTAACTGGTTTTATCTCCACTGTGGAAGACAAGTATGCAGGCACTTAGTGCTGTTTTTGAAAATAAAATGCTTTGGCCCAATCTAGTTATTTATGCAATACAATATTTAAATATCAGAAAATAGTCTCTGATGTTGCTGCTTGGAACCTACCATTCACCATGTGCTCTCTTGCCTTGTTATCACAGAGTCATAGAGCTATACAGCAAGGAAACCCTTCAGTTCAACTCGCCCATGCCGACCAGATATCCTAAATTAATCTAGTCCTATTTGCCAGTGTTTGGCCCATCCCTCCAAACCCCTCCTATTCACGTACCCATCCAGATGCCTTTTAAATGTTATAATTGTACCAGCCTCGTCCACTTCCTCTGGCAGCTCATTCCACACATGCACCACCCTTTGTGTGAAAACTTTGCCCCTTAGGTCCATGTTAAATCTTACCCCTCTCACCTTAAACCTATGCCGTCTAGTTTTGGACTCCACTACCCTGGGGAAAAGACCTCTGCTATTCACCCTATCTATGCCCCTCATGATTTTATAAACCTCTAATAGGTCATCCCTCAGCCTCTGATGCTCCAGCTGCAGGTTATTCAGCCTCTCCCGATAGCCCAAACCCTCCAACCCTGGCAACATCCTTGTAAATCTTTTCTGAACCCTTTCAAGTTTCACAACATCCTTCCTGTAGCAGGGAGACCAGAATTATTCCTCAAATGCATCGTGTCACCCAGCGCATCAGGATTAAATTCCATTTGCCACTGTTCTGCCATCGGAACAGCCCATTTTCATGAGTCTGTCGTGTAAGGTTTGCCTCCTCACTATTTGCTGCACGACCAATTTTCATGTCATCTGCAAACTTGCTGATCATGCCTGCTACATTCACACCGGGATCGTTAATGTGCACAGCAAACAGCCAGGGATCTAGCACTAAACCTTGTGGTGCACCACTGGGCATAGGCTTCCAATCATAAAAACATCCTTTGATCACCACTCTGTCTCCTGCTTCGAAGCTCATTTGGAACCAGTTTGCCAAATTGCCTTGGATCACATGGGCTATTACCATCTTGTCCAATCTGCCATGCAAGACCTTGTCAAAAACTTTTTTGAAGCCCAATTTAAACTATATCCACTGCACTAACCTCATCCATACATCTAGTCAACTCGGACACTCAATCAAACCTGTCAGAAATGATCTCCCCTGATAAAGCCATTCTGACTAACCTTGGTCAAACCTTGCTTCTCCCAGAGGAGATTAACTCTGCCCCTCAGAATTTTTTCCAAAAGTTTCTCCACCTTTCCAACAATAGGAATAGTTTCTACTCTGTCCAGATCACAAATGATCTAGAGTACTTCTGTCAAATTTTATCCTCCAGTTCCCTTCTGTAAGGAGAGGTCCCCAGTTCCTTCAATGCTGGACACTACAGTTTTGAAAGGATATGAAAACAATAGAAAAATTTGCTCCAGGGACATGCGATTGCAGTCCTGTGGATAGATAGGAGGTTGAGCAAGGTTTTAAATAGTAACGATGAAGCTTGTGAATGTGCCCCAGTGAAGTCAGCTGCTGCTCAAGCTGTGAAATCAGGGCCTAACATATACTAAGACAATTGTTTCTCCCCTTAGTTTTCAGCTGCCCAAAAGTAACTGGACGCAAGACGAATTTGGAGAAGATGGGGGAGGTAGTAGAGATCATGAAGAAGTCAAACTCTGAGATCAGTTTGCAGGTTGCAGGTTTCAAGTTCATTACTAAAATGTTGGAAGAGGACAGCACGCGGGAGAAGGTGGCTCTGAAAGTGGATTCTGGCCTTAATCAAAGGGACAAACTGATCAAAGTGCTTGTGGAAGAATTGACCAGTTTGTCCAAGGAAAAGCCCCTGGTTGTCACCTGTTTGCGGCTGATTTACATCCTGATGCAGCGATATGACTGGAGAGCCTTGTTTGCCACGGAGGGAGGAATCAAGAGTGTTCTTTCCTGTATGCAAGAGCACAAGAATTCAGCACTTGTTCAGCAGGCTGCTCTAGCTGTAAGTTCCTAACTGAGAAATGCTTCCCTCTCTTTCCTTTCCCCCTGAAGAAACCAGGTACCTTCTATTTCTTCATTATCTACTAATTTTACAAGATGCTACTGCAAGAGTATTTCGAGATAGATGTATTGTTTTTCCTTCAGCTCAGATAACAATTTTGTCACAGCTTTATGGTTACAGGTTGATGGCCTGACCTGTCATACTCATTCTACCTGTTTTACTAAGCAAAGTTATTAAAACAAACTTAAAACTCTAGTGCAAGATCCCACAATTCTAACCCAACAAATTAAAAATCTGTAACCCCTGTAATGGTCATATCAACTGGAATTTATACATACCAGGCCCTGGTTTCTGTTCTTTCCCAGTTCAGTTCTATCCACTGTTATTTCTAGCACTGGGATATTTGAATGGCAATTCTTCCTTCTGACTTAAAATCTCCGTTTGTTGAGCATGATGGATTGTTGCTACTTTTGGACATTAAGACACATTAGCATATGGAATGGACTTGCATTGCGGTGAGGGGAGAGAATCAGCACTGGGGAACTAGCCAGTAACACCAGCTGGAAGTTGTGCATTGCTGCTTTAACAAAATCAGTTTGCTGGAAGGAGTGGTGAAGGGAATGTCTCAGCCCGGTTTTATCAAGGGGAGGTCATGCCTGACAAATCTGTTAGATTTTCTCTGAGGAGATAATGAGCAAGTTTGACAGAGCGTGCCAGTGGACATGATCTATATGGATTTCCAGAAGGCTTTTTTACAAGATGCTGCACAGGAGGCTGCTAAATAAGATGAGCCCATAGTGTTAGGTCAAGGAACTGGCATGGATTGGCTGACTGGCAGAAGACAGAGTAGGGATAAAGGGGTCGTTTTCAGGATGGCAGCTGGTGTCGAGTGGAGTTCTGCAGGGGTCAGTGTTGGGATCACAACTATTCACGTAATACATTAATGATCTGGATGAAGGAACTGAGGGCATTGTTACAGATGACACAAGATAGGTGGAGGGACAGGTAATGTTGAAGAAGTGGGGAAGCTGCAGAAGGACTTGGAGAGTGGGCAAATAAGTGGTAGATGGAACACATGGTGAGAAAGTATGAAGTTATGTACTTTGGTAGGAGGAATGGAGACATAAACTACTTTCTAAATTGGGAAAGGTTTCAGAAATCTGAAGCACAAAAGGACTTGGGAGTCCTAGTTCAGGTTTCTCAAGGTTAAGATGCAGGGTTCACTTGGCATTTAGGAAGGCAAATGGAATGTTAGCATTCATTTCACGAGGGCCAGAATTCAAGCGTCGAAATGCACGGAGGCTGTATAAGGCTGTGGTCAGACTGCATTTGGAACATTGAGAAGTTGAAGGCTCTGTTTCTAAGGACGGACGTGCTGGTGGTGGAGGGGGTGCAGAGGATGTTTACAAGGATGAAGGGCTTGTCATATGAGGAGTGATTGAAGACTTATGGTCTGTACCTGATGGAATTTAGAAGGGTGGTGGTTGTGGAGCTCTGCTTGAAACTTAGAGTACCGAGAGGCCTGGATAGAGTGTACATGGAGAAGATGTTTCCACTAGTAGGAAACAGTAGGACCTGAGGGCACAGCTTCAGAGTGAAGGGATGACCCTTCAGAACTGAGATGAGAAGGAATTTCTTCAGTCAGATGGTGATGAATCTGTGGAATTCATTGCCACAGAAGGCTGTGGAAGCCAAGTCATTGAGTGTATTTAAGACAGTGGTTCTTGATAAGTATGGGGATACGAATCAGGGTTATCCAGGGTTATGGGGAAAAGGCAGGAGAATGGGGTTGAGAAACATATCAGCCATGATCTAATGGCAGAGCAGACTTGATGGGCTGAGTGGCCGAACACTGTTACTATGGGGCACAGATAAGACAGCATCTTCCTAAAGAGAGATAAACCTCTGGTCTTCAGAATGAGTGCAGCGGGAAATGTACTGATAACATAAGTGCACTTATATTGCAAAACAACGAGGTGCAGGGCAGATTGAACATCTTCACCAGAGAACATCCAATTGATTGTACAGCTATTTATTTTTACCATTTGTGATTAATTTCAGATCCAAAGCAGTAATGATGATCTGACCCCTCTAGCCTGGTTAAATGGTCTTCGGTGTGTGGGTGAAAGGGTGGTTGGACTCTGACAGTATATCAGAACTTTGAACTTTGTGGTCTCATTTGCTTTCTGTACTATTTTAAATATGCTATAATTGTTTTTTGTCTACCACACAGTTAGCAGGAAGGAGATAAAATGGGTTGCCAAGTATTAGTATAATGGCCATGGCTCAGGTAGCATGTGAAGTCTGAAGGTTATGGATTCAAACTCCATTCCCCAAACCTGAGTACAACCTAGGCTGGCCCTCCATTGCAGTACTGAGGGAATCTGATAGTGTTTTTACCCTCTTGGATGGATGTGAAAAATTTACTTGCAATAATCTAGAAAAACTGCAGAACATGGTACCTGGTGTCCTGGCTAATTTTTTCTCTCAAGCAACAGTGCTAAACTTAACATCATATTGTTTTCCTTGTAGTCTGAGGCTTTGCTGTACATAATTTAATTGCTGCATTTTCATAATTGCAATACTAAGTACACTTGCAAAGTATGTCATTGGCTGTGAAGTGTTTGGTATGTACTAAGGACATGAGAGATTGAAGGCTTTTCCTTATAAAACTAGTGACAGAAATATCCTTGCAACAATACCTTTTCTGCTTTTAATTGTTTAATATAGTTAATAAATTAGGACACAAAGCTGATGCTTGTCTCAACAGGCTCTGAAAATCTTGACTGGAGCCAGCAAATATGACATGCGAACTAAAAGTGTTCGGCCTCATCTGGCAGACGCTGATGCCCAGATCATCCTTGAAATCTTTGCCAGTATAGGTTCAGCCTCTACCCAGGATTCCAAAGGGCTGCTCAGTGTTATTCCTGCTGCTGTTGCGAAAATGATGAACACCTCAGGGTAAGGAGCATCCTTAAGACACACTGTTTCATTGGTGTTTGTTATTTCTCTTGAGCATCTACACTTTTTCCTGAAGTTGAGGCCTTCGAAAATTCTCCTACCTACAATAGATGGCAATTGCAGTTGACCTCTTCCTACTCCCTGTGAATGCTTGTTATCTTCTGACAGCTGCTTATGGAGCTTCTCCCAGTTCAAGTATTTCTGCCAATTATCTACAGGCTATTCAGCCCTGGAACCAAGTGTCTGCATGTGTGCTTTCTGGTGAGAATTACGAGATTGTAATAAAGAGCAGGAGTGTGATCAGATTTCTTCTATGTTTTGCTTCATGCCATGTCAAAAGTACTACGTAGTCAAGTGATCATGACAAAAGGCTCAGTACAAGCCAGCAGTTGAATCAGGACAGATTTATATGCCATGAATTCGAACTTGGCAATCAAATGGCACCTTGAGTATTGGGTGAGCCATTGATGATTTGCAATTCAGGGATATTCCTTATTTAATCTGTATTCTAATAGCACTTTTTTGTTTATTGTGGTTGTAAACTAAAGAAGTTCCCTGAATAGTGCCAAATCCATTATTAATTTTGGTAGGGTTACTGTGTATATTTGTTGTTAAAACAAACTTTGCTTGCTTCCTCTCTTGATCCTCAGGTTTGAATCTCTCCTTCCCCACTTCATCCTGCTGCCCTCCCCCACTTGCCATCACCTTTTATTTACCCACTGACTGACCTCCCTGAGCCTCCCACATCCTATCCCTCTTACTCCTGAACATTCCCTGTGGATTTGGGCTCAGAATGGAAGCAGGGAAAAGGAGGGAGAGAAGTAGGTGGTGGGAAATAGCAAGCAGGAGAATTGGGTAGTGAAGGTAGTAAGCGGGTTGGAAGGAAAGACTGAGTGAGGAGGACATTTGGTCAGTAGATTCACGGCAGCCTAATAAGCGCATAAGTTGCCCATATCAATGTTGCCTTAAGGGCAAATGAGTTTTATTTAACACCTTTTCCTTTACTTTTGTTTTAGGAACACGGAATGCTATATGAGCGATTTTTGTATTTATTGAATAGATTTGAAATTGTATTCTTCAAGAAGTGTTGAAACTGTCTTGAGCAGCAAATGTTATACTCTATTTACACATTTCACTTGGATGTTCTATCAACCATTGGATTGAAATAAGTCCTTAGTAAATACTGACATGATATTGCCATCATGCAGAATGATGTGGACTCGCCCAACATCTTATGGTATTTTGCCCTTTAATTGCTACCATATTCTTTCATTCTAGGTGTTCCTCTGCAGTTCAGGATGGCTTGTTAATTGTCATTATGCTGGTTTCTAATCACAAAAGTCTTGCAGAGTTATTGGTATCTTGTGACATCTGCCCAATTCTGTATAGCTGTATTGGAAACGGAAGCAGTTCCACAGGCAGTCATCAACAGATGCTAGCTATCATGGCCCTCAGTAACATCTCTCTGAACCACAAACTCTCCACTGGAATTGAGAATAAAGGTAAAAGAAGTTGGTGCTTTAAAATACTGTTAAAATATAGAATAGTTCCTGCATGTAGTGTTTGTTCAGCTAAACATCTTAATCCTGGCAATCTTTACTATTAAAGTAGGAAGGTTATGCTTCCGTTACAAAGGGCAATGGTACAACTACGGCTGGAGAGCTGTGCACAATATTGGTCACTTTACTTAAGGAATGATGTAAATGCTTTAGAAGTAGTTCAGAGGAGGTTCACTTGATTAAAACTTAATGAGTAGATCACCTGAGGAAAGGTTGGACAGTCTAGGCCTATATGTGATGGAATTTAAAAAAGTTAGAGGTGACTTGTTTGAAACCTACATGATCCTGAGAAGTCTTGACAAGAAACATCCTCTCCAGATGTAACTTATAGAAGAATCCAGAGCTAGATCTTACTGTTTAAAAGTAAGGGATTACCCATTTTAAATAGTGATGAGGTTTATTTTTTTCATGGTTGAATTCTTGGAACTGTCTTCCTAAAATGTGGTGGAAGCAGAGTATTTTGAAGGCGTGGGTAGATAAGTTCCTGTTAAATAGTGGCTGAAAGGTTGTTGTTGATTGGAGGGAGTACAAATTTGAGGTTACAACCAGATCAGTCATGTTCATTTTGAATGGCGGAGCAGGCTGAAGAGGCCGAGTGGCATACTCCTGCTTGTTCGTATTGTTTGAATGAGCCATTTGTGTTCCTCAGTTTATTGTGCCAAAACCACCTCACTATTTACAAGGCATGAGCCAGGAGTATGGTTGACCTGATTGGATGAGTGCAGCTTCAGTAATACTGAAAAACCTTGATACCATCTAGGACAAAACCTGTGCGATTGGCACCTCATGTAAACCTAAATGTTCATCGTCTCTGTCACTGGCATCTCTAATTGCAGTGTTTACCATCTACAAGATCGACTGCACTAACTTGCCATGGCTTTTTCTACAACACTTCCCAAGTTTGCAATCTTTATTGTCTAGAAATACAGGGCAGTATGTACATGGGAACATGCCCACTTGCACCCTTCATGTCACACTTTGCAGAGATGGAATATTTTGTCTTTCTTTCGTTATGCTTGTGTAAGATCCTGGAACTCGCAACTCTAATAGCGCTGTGGAGTCCCTTCGTGACGACAGTGATTTAAGGCAGTGCTGCATTATCAATTCACAAGTCTGACTCTCTCAAGGATAAACACTAACTTTAATTAGTTTTTTCAATAGGATCTTCATCACAATCCACATTGATCAAGCACGTTAGCTTGTTGTCTCATACATCTATAAAACCTCTTGGGGAATTTTTCTTGGGTTCAAGCTGTATAAATACAAGTTGCTGCGATCAAGCCTGTTATGTATTCAGTTCATTGTTTGAGATGAACTGTTTACTGGTTTATTGCTTTCTTAAGGATTTTGGTGCATTTTATTGGAAGCAAATGCTGGTATTTCTTAATTATCCTATTTCTCAGGTTGCAATTTGTAGCCCTGAGCAAATGAGCACTGTTGATAAACTTAATGATGTTGATTATTTTAGATGTAGGTTATTTGCCCAAAAAAAAATTCCAAATGTTTTACGTTGGATTGATCTGAAATTTCTATTGAAGTATCTATAGATATTAAAATTCTGGATTAATATTCCACCAATTGAATTAATGTGGGACAGAGCTGAAGTATAATAGTTAACTTCAGTGACTCATGTTTTAATTGCAAGATCATTTCTAAATAATTAACTGACATTTCCCTGTAGGGGATACTTGTTCACTGGTTGAGTAATAGTGAAGTTATTGTTAAATGTTTCAGGATCAAAAGAGGCTTTAAATCTAAAGGATGCTGAATTGAAGATGCTGCTTGTGAGTTTAAAGGAGCAGAGTGGTGCGAAAGAAATCATTCTTTCACTGGAACGTTGGATTTGTGATGAGACAACTGGGCTGGAAACTCAGATTGAAGACATCATGAAAGATAAAGAAGCCTTCCAGTCACTGTTGCAGGGATTGGACCATTTCCGCTCTGAGAAAGCTGTGCAACAAGCTATCATACGGTATGTAATAAAGTATTGAAGCTAATTGTTTAGATAAAATCTGGCTGGATACAGAGTAAAGCTTCCTGTACTTCAGAACAAGTTTCTCTCTTAACCTCATCAGAACTTTGCTCTAAACATGAGAAAAGAACTCCAGACTTAGTGGGAGAATGATTGCCCTTGATAGCAAGAGGTCCCAGCAAAATTGAATTCAGTGGGAATCAGGGAAAGCTGTCCATTATTTGAATTGTACTAAGTATGAGAAAATGCTTGTGGTTTTTGGAGATCAATCATATTAGCTCCAGGACAATGCAACAGAAGTACTGTCCTCAACCGTACCATCTTCAGCTGCTTCATCAATGATCTTCCCTCCATCGTATGATCAGAGGTGGTAATGTTTGCTGAAAATTGTACAATGTTTAGCATCACTTGTGACTCCTCAGACATTGAAGCAGTCCCATGTCCAACATTCAGGTTTCGGCTGACGAGTGGCAAGTAATATTCATGCTACACAAGTGCCAGGCAATGACCATCTCCAATAAGACAGAATCTTGACCATCTCCTTGATGTTCAATGGCATTACCAGTGCTGAATCCTGCAGCATCCATATCCTGGGGATTACCATTGATCAGAAATTGAATTGGACCATCCATGTAAATGTTCTGCCAACAGGAACTGGTCTGAGGCTTGGAGTTGTGAGGTGAAAATCTCTCTTCCCATCTCCACACTGCCTGTACACTAAATTCAAGGCACAGGTCAGGAGTGATGAAATAGTCCCCACTTGCCTGGATGAGTGCAGCTCCGACAACACTCAAGAAGTTTGCTACCTTCCAGGGAAAAGCTGCACACTTAATTGATCCCTCTTTCACCTTATTAAATATTCATTTCTTCAACCACTGATGCACAGTGGAACAGTGTGTATCATCAACAAGAGGTACTAAAGTAACGCACCACTCTTCCTTCGACTGTATCTTCCAATCCCTTGCCCTCTGCCATCAGTTTGCTACCACCATCCCCAGGGCAATTCTAAATGGCAGTAAATGCTGCAGTAAGCAATATGCACATGCCTCCAAAGAACTTTGGGGAAAAAAATAAGCTCAGCACTGAGAACATTTTGTTTTGAACCCTCCGTATCATCATCTTGTCAGTCTGCCAATGTTCTGACACATATTTGTCTTCAAGTACCTTTTTTAAAGACCATTTTTGATAATTCATACCACTGTTAAATTGGCCTAACCCAAAACAAAATTTTTACCTATGTCTATTATTTTTATTTATTCCAACTCCATATCTAGAACATCCTCATCTGAGTTTGCTACACATTCACTAAAGAAGTTCTCTCAGGCAATTTGAAAATTATGCACCCTATATAGCTTATTATACTGACATTTATCCCAGTTTTGCCCACTAGTTCAATCTTGATAGCCTAATTTGTTGATTCTTACAGCATATCATCTGCGTTAGCAGCTGTAATTTGTTTCAACCAGGATTGTAACCATCTCCCTCCACGCTTGTTCACATCTGAACATCTGTAACCACAATGCTGAGCTGTCATTCCTATAAGTCCTTTAAGCCATAATACTGTGTTTCCAAGTTTCTATCTGTACCCTCAGCTCATTTACTTTATTTACAGCACTTCTTGCATTGAAGTCTTTACCATTAATCACTGAACAGTTCATTAAATTATTTGATTGCCCCTTTTGGGTTTGATGAAGTCATAAGTTTAGCCTTGAATAACCTCTCTTGTTTGGGTTTTTTAGAATTTTGAGCAAATTTTTGGATAATTATCTGGAAGACCTGTTGCCCTGGCATGAAAGCATTGAACCATGTTTGTCATCCATGACTGCCTATAATAATGACAGAGAGGTATGATAGAAATGTTGTAATTTTTCTTGTTTATCCTGCTGTGTTTGTTGGTCTACTTCTACCTTCTAAGCCACTTTGATTGTAAACTGTGCATCCTTTCCATCTATGTCTGCACTGTACTGAGATCAAGATTCAGTCCACTGTCTCTGATTCCACTTCAGTTTTTTGCATCTGGCTAAAAGTAGTGGCGCCTCTTGGTAGTCAGTTTTCCCATCACCTTTGAATAGACGTTGAGCATTCAAGTTTGGTATTGTCCCTCTTGGCTCTCTTTCACTTCGGTTTTGTTCTGTTTTTATGCATTTAATCAACGTTTCTCAATTATTTAAAACTAAATGAAGTAGAATACTTGTATTTTCTTGTGATGGTTTGGAAAGTTAATCTGACCTACTAATATAAAATTCAGCTATATTTTGCATATCACGTAAGTGGGAGTTTTGAGATCTATCTTAAAGAACGGTTATGTAGCGCCATTATGTACTGATCCTGCCAAGTCCTGAAGAACAGGACTATTATGCTGGATGTGTGGTCAGTGATGAGAATGAGAAAAGAAGGTAAAATCTATTTTCCGTTGTCCTGTCAAATCTGTCACTCGTGAATCAGTCCACGAACATATTGGTGGGATTGACCATTGTACCATTGTGGATTATAGATTCCACCAATTTTCCCACCACTGACTGGCCTGTAATTCCCTAGTTTTCCTTCTTTTTAAGAAAGGCAATAAAAAAAAACAGAATGGCATGGCAGTTTTCCCAAACTCCTGAAAGATTATAGTTAGAGCGTCAACAATGTGCTCCCCTACTTCCTTCAACACGCTTGGATAGACACAGTCACGTTTTGGGATTTGTCACTTTAAATTTTCTCATTACCCAGTTTTTATTGTGTTAATTTTATTTAGTCCCTGCCCCTGATCTACTAATTTACTTGGGTCTTCTGGCAAGCTATCCTCCTTTTCTACTGTAAATACCAAGGTAAAGTAATTACTCAACTTGTCTCCTATTTCCTTTATGATAGTGCTATCACTGAGGTTATTTTGCCCTGGTTTGCTTTTGAAGGAAGGTGTAATGCAGAGGTAGCGAGCTGTCTAAGAAAGTTAACAATTTGAGGCCTTGGGATTTCTTTTAAAAAGTTGGAACAGTGGAAGTAGCCTGGGTGGGGCTGGTTCTCAGACCAGGCTTTCTAGTTTTTATTTAGTTTTAAGGTTTACAGGTAATTCTCTTGTAACGTGATAGTTGTGTTCTTGTGTGACCTTGCACTACAGGAAATCACTGTAGAAAATGCGTTATAGGAAAATTGTGATAGAAAATGGCTATACCTGTAGAGCAGAAAGTTTGCGTTATCCAGTCGGCGTCCACTATTTGTCAATCACGTTACAGCCAATTTGTGTTAATGAAACGCATGTTATAGCAGGACTACCTGTAGTTTTAAGCAGAGCCTTTGGGGTCTTAAAAGAGTTTGAAGCTTCAGTGAATGTCTCCTAACTGCTACTTTCTCTAAATTTTCTTGATGTTTATACGTCCTGGATTGGAGAACGGCATGTGAAAATCTGTCTGAATTTGCCTTTTTGCCAAGGGGTGTGTTTATCAGATGTTACTGTATTGGATCAGTTAGTGATAAGTACTGTTTCAGAGATAGTAAGAACTGCAGATGCTGGATAATCTGAGATACCAAGCTGTAGAGCTGGATGAACACAGACCAAGCAGCATCAGAGGAGCAGGAAGGCTGACGTTCAGGTTCTAGACCCTTCTTCAGAAATGGGGGAGGGGAAGGGGGTTCTGAAATAAATAGGGAGAGAGGGGGAGGCAGATAGAAGATGGACAGAGGAGAAGACAGGTGGAGAGGAGACAGACAGGTCAAAGAGGCGGGATGGAGCCAGTAAAGGTGAGTGTAGGTGGGGAGGTAGGGAGGAGATAGGTCAGTCCAGGGAGGACGGACAGGTCAAGGGGGCGGGATGAGGTTAGTAGGTAGGAGATGGGGGTGGAGCTTGAGTTGGGAGGAGGGGATAGGTGGGAGGAAGGGCAGGTTAGGGAGGTGGGGACGAGCTGGGCTGGTTTTGGGATGCGGTTGGGGGAGGAGAGATTTTGAAGCTTGTGAAGTCCACAATGACACCATTGGGCTGCAGGGTTCCCAAGCGAAATATGAGGTACTGTTCCTGCAACCTTCGGGTGGCATCGTTGTGGCACTGCAGGAGGCCCAGAATGGACATGTCTGAGGAATGGGAGGGGGAATTGAAATGGTTCGCGATGGGAGGTGCAGTTGTTTAGTGCGAATCGAGCGTAGGTGTTCTGCAAAGCGGTCCCCAAGCCTCCGCTTGGTTTCCCCGATGTAGAGGAGGCCACAACGGGAGCAGCGGATACAGTATACCACATTGGCAGATGTGCAGGTGAACATCTACTTGATGTGGAAAGTCTTCTTGGGGCCTGGGGTGGGAGTGAGGTGGGAGGTGTAGGGGCAGGTGTATCACTTCCTGCGGTTGCAGGGAAAAGTGCCAGGTGTGGTGGGGCTGGAGGTGAGTGTGGAGCAGACAAAGAAGTCCCGGAGAGAGTGGTCCCTCCGGAAAGCAGATAAGGGTGGGGAGGAAAAAATGTCTTTGGTGGTGGGGTCGGATTGCAGATGGCGGAAGTGTCGGAAAATGATGCGTTGGATCCGGAGGTTGGTGGGGTGGTATGTGAGAACAAGGGGGATTCTGTTTTGGTTGTTATTGCGGGGAGGGGATGTGAGGGATGAGTTGCGGGAAATGCAGGAGACACGGTCGAGGGCGTTCTCAACCACTGAGGGGGGGGGATGTTGCAGTCCTTGGAAAAACGAGGACATCTGAGATGTACGGGAGTGGAATGCCTCATCCTGGGAGCAGATGCGGCAGAGGCGAAGGAATTGGGAATAGCGTATGGCATTTTTGCAGGAAGGTGGGTAGGAGGTGGTGTATTCTCGGTAGCTGTGGGAGTCGGTGGGCTTGAAATGGATATCGGTTTCCAGGTGGTTGCCAGAGATGGAAACAGAGGGGTCCAGGAAGGAGAGAGGTATCAGATGGTCCAGGTGAACTTAAGGTTGGGGTGGAAGGTGTTGGTGAAGTGGATGAACTGTTCAAGCTCCTCATGGGAGCACAAGGCAGCGCTGATACAGTCATCAGTGTAACGGAGGAAAAGGTAGGGTTTAAGGCTAGTGTAGCTACGGAAGAGGGATTGTTCCACGTAACCTACAAAGAGGCAGGCCTAGCTTGGGCCCATGTGGGTACCTGTGGCCACCCCCTTTGTCTGTAGGAATTGGGAGGAATTGAAAGAGAAGTTGTTGTGGGTGAGGACAAGTTCAGCTAAACGGATGAGGGCGTCATTGGAGACAGACTGGTCGAAGAAGTGGGAGGGCCTTTAGGCCATCTGCATGGGAATTGCAGGTGCATTCACCCTCAACAACTTCTTTTTCAATTCCGCCCACTTCCTACAGACAAAGTGGGTGGCCATGGGTACCCGCATCGGCCCAAGCTACACCTGCCTCTTTGTAGGTTATGTGGAACAATCCCTCTTCCGTAGCTACACTGGCCCTAAACCCCACCTCTTCCTCCGTTACATTGATGACTGTATCGGTGCTGCCTCATGCTCCCACAAGAAGCTCGAACAGTTCATCCACTTCACCAACACCTTCCACCCCAACCTTAAGTTCACCTGGACCATCTCTGATACCTCTCTCTCCTTCCTGGAATCTCTGTTTCCATCTTTGGCACCCACCTGGAAACCGATATCCATTTCAAGCCCACCGACTCCCATAGCTACCTAGAATACACCTCCTTCTACCCACCTTCCTGCAAAAATGCCATCCCCTATGCCTAATTCCTTCGCCTCCGCCGCACGTGCTCCCAGGGTGAGGCATTCCACTCCCGTGCATCTTAGATGTCCTCGTCCTCGTTTTTCAAGGACCGCAACTCCCCCCGCCCCCTCCACCTCAGTGGTCGAGAACACCCTTGGCCGTGTCTCCTGCATTTCCCGCATCTCATCCCTCACACCCCCTCCCCACAATAACCAAAACGAGATCCCCCTCATCCTCATGTACTACCCCACCAACCTCCGGATCCAACTTATCATCCTCCAACACTTCCGCCATCGGCAATCCGACCCCACTACCAAAGACATTTTTCCCTCCCCACCCTTATCTGCTTTCCAGAGGGACCACTTTCTCCGTGAATCCCTTGTCCGCTCCACGCTCACCTCCAGCCCCACCACACCCGGCACTTTTCCCTGCAACCGCAGGAAGTGCTACACCTGCTCCGACACTTCCCACCTCACCCCCATCCCAGGCCCCAAGAAGACTTTCCACATCAAGCAGATGTTCACCTGCACATCTGCTAACATGGTATTGTGTATCCGCTGTTCCCGATGTGGCCTCCTCTACATCGGGGAAACCAAGCGGAGGCTTGGGGACCGCTTTGCAGAACACCTAAGCTCGGTTCGCACTAAACAACTGCATCTCCCAGTCGCGAACCATTTCAATTCCCCCTCCCATTCCTCAAACGACATGTCCATCCTGGGCCTCCTGCAGTGCCACAACGATGCCACCCGAAGGTTGCAGGAACAGCACCTCATATTTTGCTTGGGAACCCTGCAGCCCAATGGTGTCAATGTGGACTTCACAAGCTTCAAAATCTCTCCTCCCCCAACCGCATCCCAAAACCAGCCCAGCTCGTCCCCGCCTCCCTAACCTGCCCTTCCTCCCACCTATCCCCTCCTCCCAACTCAAGCTCCACCCCCATTTCCTACCTACTAACCTCATCCCGCCCCCTTGACCTGTCCGTCCTCCCTGGACTGACCTATTTCCTCCCTCACTCCCCACCTCTCCTCACTTTTACTGGCTCCATCCCCCGCCTCTTTGACCTGTCTGTCTCCTCTCCACCTATTTTCTCCTCTATCCATCTTTTATCCGCCTCCCCTTCTCCCTATTTATTTCAGAACCCCCTTCCCCTCCCCAATACCTGAAGAAGGGTCTCGGCCCGAAACGTCTGCTTTCTTGCTCCTCTGATGCTGCTTGGCCTGCTGTTTTCATCCAGCTCTACACCTTGGTATATCAGTGAGAAGTACTGTATCTATTCGGTGAAGTTTTCCAATAGCTAAGTTAATCTAAATTACTCTTTCTTTTGTTTGAATTTTAAATACAGTGTTTAAATAAATTGTGTTTTGCTTAACATTGAGTAATTTGACCAGTCATATTGCATCTGGAACATGGCGCTTCACATCTACCTTTAAAATAAGAAAAAGTTAGGGTCCAGGGTACCTTCTTAACATGTGGACCAGACCATACCCCGTCAATATAACACTCCATACTCATTGACAATATCCCCACTTTCAGTTTTCACCACAGTTTTCTCTTTTATGTAACTATAAAATTTGTTCTTTTGATTTTTGTTGTCCCTTGCCAGTTCCTTTCATAATTCCTTTTAGTAGCTTTTATAAGCTGCTTTGAGGCCCTTTGCTGGTTTTTCTATCTTTCCCATTTAGCAGGATCTGTACTATTTTATGCATTTTTACAAGCCCTTTCTTTTGGTTTTAAGGTGTGTCTCAGCCCTTTAGTTGTCCATGGCTGTTTTCTTCAGTAAGGTAGAGCTTTCCCTTTGAAGGGCATAAACTAACTTTGTATTGTGTTAAATGTTTATTCAAACAGCCTACACTGTTGTCTCATCTCATTAAAGTCAGATTTATCTAAATCTCAAACTATAGCAGCTGATTCATGCTTTTAGCTTTCAAATGCTACATTGAATTTGGTACTGTTATGATGTAAATGTTCATGCACAATTAGGTTACTAACTATCTCTGGCTCATTACTTATTGTGAAATCCAATATCGCTTGTCCCCATGTTGCATACAGGGCATACTGCTGTAGGAAACTATCCTGGACGTACTTCAGGAATTCACTGCCTTTCTAATGGGTGCTTGTCCAACTCTCCCAATCTGTATTAAAGTTAAAATCTCCATTTATATTCCTCTGGTTTTGCTACACAACTGCCTAATTTCTTTATTAATATAGTCTCGTACTTCAGAGCTGGTACTGGAGGTCTATTGCAGTTTCCTGCCATAGGTTCACCACTGAATGCTTTGTCCCCATTATATCCTCTCTCATCGCTGAGAATTTTGTATCTGATCAGAAAGGCTTCTCCATTTCCTCTGCCATTTTCCATATCCATCTTGTAAACCTTATCTGTTGTTTTTAGTTCCCAATCCTGACCATTCTGCAGCCATGTCTCTCTAATGGCTGTTATATTATTATCTCCAATTTGAATTTGTGCCTGCAGTTCATTTAATTACTTCTTACGCTCTGTGCATTGAACATGGAACTTTTATTCGGGACATACACTCTAACTTGTCCCTCAAAACTGATGCTTTATAGACCTATTTTATTATGAACTCCTGCACCTCTTAGATTCTGTCTTATTAGAGGTAATTCAACACTAGTTGCACTGTTTTTAACTTAGCTGATTTAATTGTTCCTCTCCTCATCAGCATTCATTTAATTGGTAGTAAAGTTCCGTATTCTTCAGGTTGTTTTCATCAGCATGATAGCAGCATAATGTAGTTCTTTGTGATTGAATAAGTTTAGGAACTGGAAGAACCTATTGACTTTCTGCTGGTGGAATAATCACTGTTGTGTTTCCTGTTTGCTTCTCCATATAACTGCGTTTACTATACCCGATATTCAAAATATGCCCCTCAATCTTTTTCTATTCAAATGATAGAACTATAGTCCAGGTGGCTTGTGTTTGATGGTTTCTGCCTCTTACAAATATCAGCTGACAAATGCTTTTTCAAGACATCTGAACTTCGTAAGAAGTGACAGATGCTATAAAGGTGCCAACTTGAAAAGATATGTCAACAGCAATACTGTGTGCAAGTTTGCGTTTGATCGAATCCTATGCCACCATGGTAAAACTTTGCCCTCAATTGGTACATCGGATTTCTCAATTAGCTCCTTTTTACTCATGAAATTAATTTTGCTAACCACTGCAAACCTATGTTTACTGGTCAGTACGTCATTGGGATTTCTACAGTCCCACACGCTACATGACCTGCTTTGTATAGAGGGCTCCAGCCATCTGCTCACTGTCGTAGCCTGTGCCAAGATGGGATGCATCAAAATGATCTGTGTAATAATAGCTACTTTAATCAAATCCTAATACTGTCATATAAAGCCAAAACCTACTACTTTGTTGCCCTGAATGATGCACCATCTACCTCGCGTTACCCTGGAAAAGGAAGATGTCTGAATGTAGTTTTGTGCAACTTTTTTTTTCTCTCTTTATTCATTAACGGCATGAGTGTGTCGATGGCCAGGCAGCATTTATTTCCCATCCCTAATTGCCCAGAGGGCAGTTATGAGTCAGTCGCTTTGCTGTGGGTCTGGAGTCACATGTAGGCCAGACCAAGTAAGGATGGCAGTTTTCTTCGGGGAAATGTATTTGGATTGAATCAATTTTGTGATTGAAAAGCCTTTATTCTCTGTTCTTGCAGGTACTACAGGATTTCATTAGGTTTCTGCACAGGCTAGCAACGGTGAACAAGGATTATGCAGTTGTCATGTGTCGTCTTGGGTCAAAGGAAATTCTGTCAAAGGCACTGGACAAACACAGTTCTGCTTTACTGCTCGCTGGAGAGCTCAGAGATCTTGTCAGCGACTGTGAGAAATATGCAAGTCTTTACAAGAAAATGACCACCAGTATCCTGGCTGGATGTATACAGGTAATGAGGTTGTTCTCTGCTCTTTTCAATTGTTTCTGTCTGGCAATTCTTATTTTGGAATACACTTCCATGGGTGCTGTTGTCCCATCAGAACCTTATCTAGGTGAGTCGAGCCAGTTTGTTGATAAGCTGTATTTCTATATGGTAAAACAGGGTTAAGGAAAATCCCAAAGCCTTTTATTCATACCTAAGGAGCAAGAGGGTAACTAGAGAAAGGATTGGCCCATTCAAGGACAAAGGAGGGTAGTTATGTGAGGAGTCAGAAAATGAGAGAGATTCTTAATGAGTACTTTGCGTCGGTATTCACTGAGGAAAGGGACATGACAGATGTTGAGGTTAGGGATAGATATTTGACTACTCTAGGTCAAGTCAGCATAAGGAGTGGGGAAGTGTTGGGTATTCTAAAAGGCATTAGGGTGGACAAGTCCCCAGGTCCGAATGGGATCTATCCCAGGTTACTGAGGGACGCGAGAGAGGAAATAGCTGGGGCCTTAACAGATATCTTTGCAGCATCCTTGAGCACGGGTGAGGTCGCGGAGGACTGGAGAATTGCTAATGTTGTCCCCTTGTTTAAGAAGGGTAGCAAGGCTAATCCAGGAAATTATAGACCGGTGAGCCTGATGGGGAAGATACTGAGGGATAGGGTCTATTTACATTTGGAAGAAAAGGGGCTTAGTAGTGAATAGGCAGCATGGTTTTGTGCAGGGAAGGTCATGTCTTACTAACTTGATAGAATTCTTTGAGGAAGTGACAAAGTTGATAGATGAGGTAAGGGCTGTACATGTCATATACATGGACTTCAGTAAGGTGTTTGATAAGGTTCCCCATGGTAGGCTGATGGAGAAAGTGAAGTCGCATGGGGTCCAGGGTGTACTAGCTAGATGGATAGAGAACTGGCTGGGCAACAGGAGACAGAGTTATAGTGGAAGGGAGTTTCTCAAAAAGGAGAACTGTGACCAGTGGTGTTCCACAGGGATGTGTTAGGACCACTGTTGTTTGTGATAAACATAAATGATCTGGAGGAAAGTATAGATGGTCTGATTAGCAAGTTTGCAGATGACACTAAGATTGGTGGAGTAGCAGATAGTGAAGGGGACTGTCGGAGAATGCAGCAGAATATAGATAGGTTGGAGAGTTGGGCGGAGAAATGGCAGATGGAGTTCAATCCAGGCAAATGCGAGGTGATGCATTTTGGAAGATCCAATTCAAGAGCGAACTATGTGGTAAATCGAAAAGCCCTGGGGAAAATTGATGCACAGAGAGATCTGGGTATTCAGGTCCATTGTACCCTGAAGGTGGCAACGCAGGTCGATAGAATGGTTAAGAAGGCATACGGCATGCTTTCATTCATCGGACGGGGTATTGAGTACAAGAGTTGGCAGGTCATGTTACAGTTGTATAGGACTTTGGTTCGACCACATTTGGAATACTGCGTACAGTTCTGGTCGCCACATTACCAAAAGGATGTGGATGCTTTGCAGAGGAGGTTCACCAGGATGTTGTCTGGTATGGAGGGCGCTAGCTATGAAGAGAGGTTGAGTAGATTAGGATTATTTACATTAGAAAGACGGAGCTTCAGGGGGGACCTGACTGAGGCCTGCAAAATCATGAGAGGTATGGACAGGGTGGATAGCAAGAAGCTTTTTCCCCAGAGTGGGGGACTCAATTACTAGGGGTCATGATTTCAAGGTGATAGGGGAAAAGTTTAAGGGAAATATTAGTGGAAAGTTCTTTACGCAGAGGGTGGTGGGTGCCTGGAACGTGTTGCCAGCGGAGATGATAGAGGCGGGCACGATAGCGTCATTTAAGATGTATCTAGACAGATACATGAATGGGCAGGGCGCAGAGGGATACAGATCCTTGGAAAATAGGCAACAGGTTTAGATAGAGGATCTGGATCGGCGCAGGCTTGGAGGGCCAAAGGGCCTGTTCCTGTGTGCTGTAATTTTCTTTGTTCTTTGGTAAAGCTTTCATAGATTAGCCTGATATCTGTCCAGGGCCATCTCCAGATCAATGGCGAGTAGATCAAAATCAGAGAGGAAATTGAGATAACAAGGTGTAGAGCCAGATGAACACAACCGGCCAGGCAGCATCAGAGGAGCAGGAAAGCTGACGTTTCGGGTCTAGACCCTTCAGAAACTGGGGAGGAGAAGGGGATTCTGAAATAAGTAGGGAGAGAGGGAGAGGCGGATAGAAGATGGATAATGGAGAAGATAGGTGGAGAGGAGACAGACAGGTCAAAGAGGCAGGGTTGGAGCCTTTAAGGTGAGTGTAGGTGGGGAGTTAGGGAGGGGATAGGTCAGTCCAGGGAGGACGGACAGGTCAAGGGGGCGGGATGAGGCTGGTAGGTCGGAGATGGGGTTGGGGCTTGAGGTAGGAGGAGGGGATATGTGGGAGCAAGGGCAGGTTAGGGAGGCGGGGACAAGCTGGGCTGGTTTTGGGATGTGGTAGGGGGAGGGGAGATTTTGAAGCTTGCGCATCCCACATTGATACCATTGGGCTGCAGGGTTCCCAAGCAAAATATGAGCTGCTGTTCCTGCAACCTTCGGGTGGCATCGTTGTGGCACTGCAGGAGGCCCAGGATGGACATGTCGTCTGAGGAGTGGGAAGGGGAGTTGAAATGGTTCGTGACTGGGAGGTGCAGTTGTTTAGTGCGAACTGAGCGTAGGCGTTCCGCAAAGCGGTTCCCAAGCCTCCGCTTGGTTTCCCCGATGTAGAGGAGGCCACATTGGGAACAGCGGATACAGTATACCACATTAGCAAATGTGCAGGTGATAATCTGTTTGATGTGGAAGGTCGTCTTGGGGCCTGGGATGGGGGGTGAGGGGCGAGGTGTAGGGGCAGGTGTAGCACTTCCTGCGGTTGCAGGGAAAAGTGCTGGGGGTGGTGGGCCTGGTGGGGAGTGTGGAGTGGAAAAGGGAGTCACGGAGAAAGTGGTCCCTCCGGAAAGCAGATAAGGGTGGGGAGGGAAAAATGTCTTTGGTGGTGGGGTCAGATTGCAGATGGCGGAAGTGCCGGAGGATGATGCGTTTCCACAAAGCGGTCCCCAAGCCTCCGCTTGGTTTCCCCGATGTAGAGGAGGCCACATCGGATACAGTATACCACATTAGCAGATGTGCAGGTGAACATCTGTTTGATGTGGAAGATCTTCTTGGGGCCTGGGATGGGGGTGAGGGGGGAGGTGTAGGGGCAGGGAGGAAATTGCTGTCTTTTATTTTTTGCCCTTCTCTGTCTAAGACTCTTGGAAGTCTGCTCCCGTTTCATATTGACTGAGCTGAAGGAACTCGGCACAGTGCAGTGATTCAGCCTGGAAAAGTTTTGATGTCTATGTCTCTGTTTTGCATCTGGTGATGCAATAACTCATTAAGCCATCCACTGAGGAGTTGCATCATTTCAGTAGAGGATATGCATCCAGTACCTGAAAACTGAATCATAGAATTATAACTGTGCAGGGAGAGGCCATTTGGCCTATTGTGTCTGCACTGGGTCTGCAAGTAAGCTTTTAATTTAGTGCCATTCTCATGTCTTCTCCCTGTAACACTGTATGCTGTTCCTTTTCAAATATAAGTGTAACTACTTGAATACTTCAACTGTTAAAATGCTGGCAAAACATTTTTTCACGTTTACTTGAGACAAATGTGAGAATGTCAGCATGTTTGCCTCTTAAATGTCAACAGCATTCAAGTTCTGTATTATTAAGTAACTGAATTTAATAATGTGCATTCCATCAATGCCATTCCGCATGAACCCCTCAATGTGGACCTGTGGGCTACCACAGAAACCCAATTTTGTGTGTTTGATACATTTTTCTGGGTTACTGCCAGAATGAATATAGATGATCATTTATTATCATGAAAATGTTAGACTGAAAATGTAGGCTGAAATTCTTTTTTGCTGTGATGAGAGAAGCAAGAATATGCCCACTACCCCCTGCACCTGCCCCCAACCTCATTCTTTTTGGTTTTTGCCTTCCTTTCTCTAAGCAGAGTGATGACTCTGAATAATTTTCTTTTCCACTTCAGCCCAGACTGCTCAAAGCTGCCCTATGTAATTTACACAGAACGGGACTTGAAACTGAGTCTGTACACTTCAATGTTAAACTGCAGTGTGATTAGCTATTGAGTAGGTGTGATTAGCTTATGAGTAAAGGTGAAGTTGTAATGCCTGAAGACATTTTTCCCATTCTTTACTTCCGTCTAACTAAATGGAATTGGTTTTGAGAGATTGCTAGATATTGCAGAATGAGGTACAAGTTGCTTCTGGCAGCCTCTGATCGTTGGGATGAAGGGGATTTTCTCATTTTGCATTTTAAATACATGGTTTTTTTATATACTCCCATTTGCAGATGGTTTTGGGACAAATTGAGGAGCACAGACGCAGCCATCAACCAATCAATATCCCCTTCTTTGATGTATTCCTGAGGAACCTCTGTCAAGGTCTGTCCGAACGGCTCAATGATAACAGACTGAATCACGGCAAGTTTAAATTACATGTGGGGCTAAAAGAGAGCATCCCTTTTCTTTCTATCTTTTTTTTTTGAAGTAAAGATATTCTAATCCAGTTTTGCTTTCCTGCTTCTTTGACAGAAATGCGTATGGATAGTTAAACTTGTAGTTATGTCGCTTTCACGATCCGTGCACTTCCTGTGTTGAGTTTCATGAAACTGACCTCCTGATTGGATGGTTATTCTAATGAACACTGTCATTCAACAGATTAGCATGTAGTATGTGATGTCCATATTTGTAACTAACTGAATCCCTTTTTGTATTACTACTGTAGGTCTCGGCTTATCTGAGAGTCATCTTGGTTGTGTAGACTACTGAAAACACTTAGTTGTTGTAATGATCTTATTGTCTTGAAGGCATTAAACAAGCAAAAACAATTATTTGGCGTATCAGTCATTTAAAGTTTATCGCAAAAAAAGTTTAAGGCAACTGGACTCACTGACTTCCTTTAGAAAGAGGAAAGTCAGACATTAAATAATTGAGAAAAAATGTCATGCAGTTAAATAGATGAGCTGACGTGATCAATAGTAACTGGACAGTTATGAATTGCCATTGTTCATGCTATCTGTTTCAATGGAAAATGCGAGTAACAGTGCATTCATCACGAATGAGATGAAGCCAAAATTTAGTGTATTGCAGTTCATTTGGAAATGGAAGTTTATACACTACGGAAAAATAAAATCTAGGTGGAAGAAAAGTGGTGAGAATCTTTTATGCCTAGGCCAAATAATCATAGACTTCTGCTAAAGCATAAATTAGGAGATGATTAATCTGGGCAGGCCTTCAGCAGTACACCTATTCCTAATTTCCAGATTACAGCAAGGATATTTGAACATTTGCAAGCAGAGTAGAGGAGGGGAGTCAACCTGATACCTATCCTATGTCATCTGACCTGTGAAGAGAGGTTCAGGTATCTGAATAGTTTACCCTGGGGAACTAGTTAGAAAATGGAAAATGAGCAAATAAACTGTGTAGAGGATGGTCAGGATGTGGAATGTATGATATCAAGTGATAGGTAAATAGGCACGTTATTGAAGAGTGCATTGAATTGATGATTCACTGGGCAACAGAAGTGTTTATTACTGATACTTGTCAGGTGATTTACAAAGACCTATCTCTTGCAATACTTTTATTCTTAAAAGATGCTTAAATCCTTTAATGTTTTCTGTTTGTGTCGCACTTTGTTGGAATTTCAATGATGACCTTGATTGTGTGCATTTGCCTTGGGACACAGTAATATACATTGCTGGTTGCAGCTCTAGTCATGCAGCTATGCTGTTTGGAACTCAGCTCACCTGATCAATGGTAGTACTACTGACCCCCTCCTGGTGACGGGCATTAAAATCTTTTGTCTGTAGTACTTTCAGTGCCCTTGCTGCCCTCAGTGCTGCTTCCATTTGATGTTTAACATGATGAAGTACTGATTCTTCAGCGGAGGAAAAGCATCCAGTAATAATCAGCAGGAAGGTTCCTTGCCCATGTTTGACCTTTCTTGATAAGATTTTGTGGGGTCCAGAGTCCAACATGAGTGTTGAAGACTCCTCAGCTACTCCCTCCCAAATGTATAACACAGTGCTGTCTCTTCTGTTGGGTTTGCTGTGCTGTTGAGGTGGGACATAACCGGGGATGGTGGTTGCGATGCCTGGGATGTTAGTCATCCTCTCAGAATCATACTTTCTGGCTATATCAGACCTGTGGGACAGTTCTCCTCTCTTTGGCACAAGCTCCAATAAAGAAGTGGTTACAGGATTCAGGGTCTGCTTTGTTTACATGTCGTGCTATAAGATGGGTGGTTTTTCCCATCCTTTTGTCCTTTGACTTCTCAGTGGTGTTTGATAAAACTGAATATCTTGTCAGGTTTTTTTAAAAGTGCCTTTAATAGTCAAGTTCTTTGCTGTGAGTTTGGAGTCACATGTAAGCCAGACCAGGTAAGGATTTCCTTAAAGGATATTAGTGAACCAGGTGGGTTTTACGACAGTCTGGATGTAGCAAGCATTTGAACTGTGTTCACCTGAATGTGAAATGCCCAGTAAAAGTGAAGTAAAACCCCAGTATATTACTATGTGTAGTGCATATTGGCTTCAATGTGAGCAGTGTTGTGGAGGATTGATGTCAATATATTTAATCCGAACGACAGCTGATAATTATATTTGGGGAATATTTATTTTCAGAATGCCTAGTGACAAGTGGTGAGTTGGAGGAGGTGGTTGAGTCTTGGGATTTTGGTGACATTTATGGCTATTTAAATGACACTGATTTAATCTAGGAAGTATCCAAAACCACTTGATGAAGTCAACAGTCTCTTATTCTGTTTTTTTTTTCTGCTGACTTTGAAGTAGTTTGTTCAAACCTAATGCATTTGAAACCTGCTGAAATATTGCTTAGATTGATTCCCTGGCTGGTGGTTACTATTCCTTTCTTATTCTTCTTTGTATAGGTTCCAGTGTGGAGTTGAAAGAGGACAAGTGTTGGGAGAAAGTGGAGGTCTCCTCCAATCATCACAGAGCAAACAAGCTAACTGACAAGAACTCTAAAACATACTGGGAATCAAATGGCAGCACAGGATCCCATTACATTAATATTTACATGCACAAAGGGGTAGTTATCAGGTAAGTGTTGAGGGCTTGGGTTTTATCACTAGGCTTTCCGCACTGCACAATGACACAGTAGTGCTTTGAAATAGACTTAATTATGTGTAGAGCTGCTGAGAACACCCTAACAACCACTGACTTGGCTGGATTCCTTGAATTCACTGTGTAGTGATTATGTAGACCTGCAATCCTGTTAATCTGAATGAACACTTCATGTAGAGCATATGAGCTAGGAGCAGGAATCCCTGACAAACTGTTATTGAAAAATATTTTCAATAAATCTGTTTGGATATGTTATCATGTGCTTCCAAGACAGGTGGGACTTGAACCAGGACCTTCTAGTCAGAGATGGTCACCTATTACCTTGGAATTGAGGATGACTTCTGCCAGATTAGATGAGTATTCATGTGACTGAGGAACCCAATCTAGGACGCACGTTATTCTGCAGTGAGGCTGCGTTATGTGGGGAAAATGGGATTAAGATCCCTGGATTGGCTTCTTTGTCCTTCCTCTGCTGCCGCTGCTCCCCTTTGCAATTGAGTTGTTGAGCTTTGATGGAGTGAGCTGTCGGCAGCTTGCTCTGCTCAGTTACTGGTCAATGCCTCTGCGATTTAGGACAATCTGGACCTTTGACCTTTGCCTTTGGCTGCCCTTTGAGAGTTGGCCAGTGTACAGCTGGGGAAGAAAACCTGTCAGGAGTGGCTTTCAGGCATCCAATGCTTTGGCCTGCCAGCAAAGTTGGTTATTCAGGAGCAGGGGCTTCAATGTTGGTTGATGCAGATTCATGGAGGTTGCTCGTGTTGTTCCAGCAATCCTCCCTTTTGGCTGCCAGGATTTGACGTAGGCATCATTGATGGAAGCCTTCAAGGGATCCTGCCACTGTTCCATAAGATCTCCCCTAGTACTGAGTCAGCCTGTTTGACAGGAAATGGTACACCTCTGAGCAAGGTGAGATCTGAGCCTAGACCTTCTAGCCCAGAGGAAGGACACTACTAGAGAGCAACGAGACCCTGTGGATAAGCCCCAAAGCCTCATTACTGGCCACATAAGTTCCGGTTAACTTTGTAAGGCTCTTGTGCAATGGTAAGGAACCTGGATTTTAGGGACAAAAGTTCCACCTATCCAAGAGGGTCTCAACATCTTTGAACAGGTTGATTTTTAAAAAAAATAATGGGCTTGTGGTGCCTGTCTCTCAGCCACAAGATCACACTCGTCTGGAGGTGTGTCAAAACATGTCTGAACAAGTTGATTAATTTTTTTTTTAATTCCAGGTTCCCTGAGGAATTATAGGAAACACCATAATGCCATTTTCCTTATTTTCATGCGGTTGCCTGCATGCTAGCTTTCTTAACTTTGTGTTGTGTGGAGGGGTCATGTTGAACTCCGTGTTAACTGTTTCTCTCTCCACGGATACTGCTGGATGTGCTGAGTTTCTGTATCGCTTAGTTTTTATTTCAGATCTCCAGCATCTGCAACCATACCCCTTCAGGTGTAAATGAGCCTTTTGGTCCCTGATCAACCTTATTCCTCCTCTTACTGTCATTCGGTATTTATATACCCATGGAAGATTTTTGGATTGCATTTATGTTAGCATTCACTCACTTCTCATACACTTTCTTTGTTGCTTTTTTTTATTTGCTCTCCTAAATGTTTTATTTTCAGACTCATCCTCACTTCTAATCTGCCTGACATCTAGAACATAGAACATAGAACATTACAGCGCAGTACAGGCCCTTCGGCCCTCGATGTTGCACCGACCTGTGAAACCAATCTGAAGCCCATCTAACCTAAACTATTCCATTATCATCCATATGTTTATCCAATGACCATCTGTCACACATGCCCCTTTCTTTGCATCATCTTGCCCTCCTAAGTCTTGAAACCTAACAGAGCCCACAAAAATGAAGTTGATCTATTATTTCAAGTTGAACGAAGTATATCTTTTTTAGAGAAGTACGCTCCTGTATTGTTAGAACAAGCACAGAGGCTTTTCACTGTCATTCCAGAGACACGATATTGAAATGTTAGAAAACCTTTGCATTGGAAAAATCATACCTTTTCCACTTGCAAGGCTATAGATACCATATTGGAGGTAAATGTGAAAATTTATATAATGAGATTTCTATTCATTTGGTTAATGTAACTTTCAATGCATTTTAAATTGGTGCAAACCACGAACCATTTCTAAAACTTGCAATACATAATCATTTTCTCTGGGATAAGATTCCTGAAGCCATCCAAATCATCCATGTCACTTAATGGGCTTGGAAGATTACGAAAAGAGAACAAGAAAGGTTAATGTTCCCCCAAATGATGTGTAGTTGAAATCCATATGGTGCTACCTACTAGAGTTGTTGAATGCTTTTGCAAAGATTAATAACTTCATAATTGGTTTAAGAACATGTATATTGCCTGCAGTTTACTGATGAGCAGTCTTTGACCTTGTGTTACAGACAGTTGACCTTGGTGGTTGCGAGTGAAGACTCTAGTTATATGCCGGCTCGTGTGGTGGTGATGGGCGGAGATGATCCCAGTAATATCAATACAGAACTAAATACAGTGAGTTACTAAGAGGAGCACCTTTCAGCCAGTGTGACAAATGCAAATAAATCTGGGGAGCATATTGTTGCAGCTTCCAGTGCAAAGCACCTTTCATATTTTGTTCAATGATCACTTTGATTCTTATCTTCTATGGATTCTTGTTAACTTGTAAGTGTCTGGTTCTTATGTTCCATTGATGCATTGGCACAAATCCCTAAATTCTGATAAAACAGCTGTTGAAAGGATAGGAGAATCCATCACTGTACTTCAAAATATTTCCTTCTCTGTGAAGTACTGAATGAATGTTTTCTGAGAGCTGATGAGTCTTTTTAACAATTAGCATTTGGTTGTCTACAGTTGTACATTGAAGAATTGCCTCTGTCATGACAGACCTCCCATTTGTTGACCCTGTCTTTATTTGCAGGTGAATGTGGCACCCACTGCCAGCCGTGTTTTACTGCTGGAAAATATGACCCGTTACTGGGCAATTATCCAAATTCGGATCAAGCGATGCCAGCAGGTAGATCCTTTGATTATATTGCAATGTATTATATGTGTTATTATCGATGAAGTAGTAATGAAGCATTTGCTTCATGTATTCTCCAATTTCTTTCTTTACTGAGGTTCACACTTACTGTGCAGTAATGTTATTTGAGTAGAGGAGCTGCAGCTGAGCTGCTATATCTCGTTAATCAATATTTCCTTAAATCAGGGAGGGATTGATACTCGTGTTCATGGATTTGAAGTTCTGGGACCAAAGCCAACCTTCTGGCCAGTTTTCAAAGAGCAGCTATGCTGTCGGACTTACCTCTTCTACACGACAAAGGCCCACACGTGGTGCCAGGAGATTCAGGAGGACAAGATGCAGCTGCTGCAGCTTTTCAATAAGTAAGTTACGCAGAGGGTATTGCACCATAAAACGTTAGCTGTTTGGAATCCATTCTTGGATGGTGGATTCATGCTAGACTGACAACACCACGCACTATTTTAAAATGCAAATAAGGGCTCATGGCATTGGGAGTAATTAAGTAGTCAGAGGATTGGTTAATGAACAAGAAACAGATAATTGGATATATAATGCATTTTCAGTTTGGCAGTTGGTAAATTAAATGCTGCAGAAATCAGTGCTGGAACCCCAGGAATTTCCAATTTATATTAATGAGTTAGGGAGGCCGAGAATAAAGTATCCAACTCCACCCCCACCAATCCTGATCTCTCCCCTTCCATACCATTCCACTTAGGCTGCACCCCCTGCCCTGAAGTCTGAGTATACATGATTCAAAGGTGTCAGCAAGCCCAGCCTTTGGGAAGGGCAACTGTGAAAATAGCACAGATGCTACAGCGAGATGGGTAGAATTGCTAGGTAACTAGGTGACAGCTAAATATGAATGTTGAGAAATGTGAAGTTATTCACTTTGGTAAAAAGAATAGAAAATAGAATATATTTTAAAAGGTGAGAAGCTTTTAATGTGGATATTCAGGTCAACCTGAGTAAACGCCTACAAGGGACACAAAGATCGTAAGGGCATTGCAAAGGCAATTAGGAAACCAAGTAAGGTCTTGGCCTTTGCAAAGGGCTTGAAGGACAGGATATGGAGATCTTGCTACAGTTGTACAAAACTTTGGTGATCCAAAATTTTATTAGTTGTGTATTCCTGTTATTGGAAACAATTTTGAGACAGCATAAGCCATCATTTAGGATTATTCAAGGATAATTAGTTCAGGGAAGATTGTCTTACTACCATGATTGAAATTTGAGAGAAAGTAATAAGGAGGATTTGAGTGGATTGTAGTTGATGGTTATTGTAGATAGAATTTTGCAAGGCCTTTAACAAAGTCTTGCATAGACTGGCTTAGAAAGGAATAAAAATCCATGGGATCTTGGAAATGTAGCGCACAGAATACAAAATTGACTCAGCAGGATACAAAGGGTATTTTGTGACCACGAGGCCCTGCTTATATTAACGATTGAGAAATAAATTTGTGGGTATGATGCCAGAATTGGTCTTGTAGTGGTTAGTGAGGAGGGTATACATCATTTGGAAATTCCTGTCCAAACCACACATCCTGACTTGGAAATATCTCATCATTCCTCTCCTATTGATGTCAGAATCCTGGAACACTCTAGCTAGCAGCACTATGCGTGTCCCTATACGTCAAGGAATTCAGTGGTTCAAGTAGAAAGCTCACCATCTCCAGGGCAAATAGGCATAGGCCATTAATGCTGGCCTAGCCAGTGACACACATCCCATGAACTTTTAGACTCTTCACTCTGAGGTAACTTGGTTAGAATTGTTAAAAATATTTTCTCCCTTTCTCAGGAGCATCTGCTTTTACATATCTAGCTTCAGCTATAAAGCCTCAGAATTGCCCACACATTAACTAAGAATGACCTTTCTTTTACCAAATAATGGGGCTTTCCCATAATCCAAAAGAAAGATATCAATCCCATGCCTTTCAACTAGAGCTCAATGCACAACCGTTTGCTAGGAAAATTCTCCCAATGGAAACAAAATCCAAATACTCTCCAGGAAGTCTTTCTCTCTGTCTTTTAAAAGAAGTCACCATAATAACAGAAAACAGAGGGTTCTGCTATAACGCGTGAATTGGCTGTAACACGACTGAAGATCAGGGAAACGCTATTTCTAAAACGTGAACTTATGTTGGCTATAATGCAATTCCATCGAGTAGGCACCTTGCTGTCAGGAGCCCTTTGCTGATGATACCTGCAGTGTACTTGTATAATGCTGTGATTCTGAGAGTCTCGGAGAAATTCTCCCTGCTAGCCTTCACTGAAACTGAAAAGTAAGAAGCCAGCAGGTCTGTTATCAGGCAAAGTAGGGTGTAGGGGACCTGGCTACAACATGAGGCCCCAGCAGCCTATTTAAGTAATTAGTTAGATTATGGTTGACTTAGGTTTCAACTTGATCTTCCCACCTTTGCTCCATATCCCTCAATACCTTTGTCATGTGATAAGATCACTGAAGGAGTCTGAGTTGCTGTGGCACCATACACGTATGTATACGTCGCAGTCTGGAACTGTGGATAGTGGTGGTAGAGTCTCCAGTGTTCTTTTAGTCACACAGTTGACCAGGAATCTCTCCCAGTCTTAGTGTGCTACTGGCAGTGTTGGAAGAATTTGCCGATTGAGTTTTGATCTTTTTTGTCACATTGTGAACGCCCCTTCCCTGGCCATTGAGGTCTGAGCCAGAACTTGAATCAAGATCCAAGTTCTGGATATTTTATTTCAGAGGGAGAGGCCTTATTGTTGTAGTAAAGTAAGTAAACTAATAATTATGTTGTAAGACATGGGAGCAAGTCAGTTGCTGATGCTGACAGTTTAGAAGAGTTAGCGGTGAGTTGATTGAAGCATTGGAGATCATGAAGTTTCTTGATAGGTAGAGGATGTTTTTTTCTTTTGGGAGAATCTGGAACTAGGAGTCACTTAGTGTTCTTTCTAACTTTTTTTCTACATGGGCCTCCAAAGTCAATGCTGTGATGCACATTGGCACGCTGATTGCCTTGCGCGGAACGTCAGCGACTGCACACACAGCTCTTTAAAAATCAGAGGTCACCTGTTTAAAACAGGTGAGGTGAAGCTTTTCCCCTGAGGGTCGTGAGTCTTTGGAACTCTCCTGCTGAAAAGGTGTTGAAGTAGGGTTCTTAAATCAAAAGGGAGTTTTTCTAATTTTTGCTATTGTCAAGCCAGCTTCTTTTTATTTACTTATTTTTTATTCATTAATGGGATGAGGGTGTCACTGGCTAGGCCAGCACTTATTGCCCATCTCTAATTTCCCAAAGGGCAGTTATTTGATAACAAGAACTTAGTTGTTGCTCATGCAAACATTTGAAAGGAATGTAGCATTATTGAAGCCTGAAGGAACGTTGTGAGTTAAGCTCTTGATTTTTTTTAAAGAAAAGTAAAAGCATTAGTTAGATCAAGATAAGCCTCAAAGATTGGATGAAAATACCACAGTGAAGTTGAGTTTATAAGAAAGTTATCTAAGGTTTAAAAGAGACCCTGATTAATTGGGTCGGTGGTTGAAGAGTGGCAGATGGAGTTTAATTTGGATAAATGTGATTTATTGCATTTTGATAAATGTGATTTATTGCATTTTGGTAACTCGAACAAGGGCAGGACTTATCCAGTTAATGTTCAGGCCCTGGATAGAGCTATCATACAGAGAGACCTAGGGGTTCAAGGACATAGTTCTTTGAAAGTTGCTTCACAGGTGGGCAGGTGTTAAGGTGTTTAGCATGCTTGCCTTTGTTGAGTATGAGAGTTGGGACATCGTGTTGAGGTTCTACAGGACGTAAATAGACCACTTTTGAAGCACTGTGTGCAGAAGGATATTTAAACGGAGAGGGTTCAGAAAAGATCTACAAGGATGTTGATGGGACTGAAGGGTTTGAGTTATGGAGGGACAGGTTGGATAGGCTGGGACTATCTTCGCTGGCACATAGGAATTTGATGGGTGACCTTTTAGAGGTTGAAAAAAAATCATAAGGGAAATAGATAAGGTGAATAGTTTTAAAAAAAACTTTTCCCTAGAGTGAGTGAGTTCAAAAATATTTTTATTCATTCGTGGGATGAAGGCATCGCTGGTTATGCCAGCATTTATTGCCCATCTCTAATTGCCTATCATGCAATTACAAGTCAACCACATTGCTAGAGGACGTAATTTTAAGGTGAGAATAAAACATTTAAAAGGGACCTGAGCAGCAACTTTTTCACACAGAGGGTGGTTCGTATGTGGAATGAATTGCCAGAGGAAGTGGTAGATGCAGGTCCAGTTACAATGTTTAAAAGACATCTGGACAGGTACATGAATAGGAAAGGTTTAAAGAGATATGGGCCAAACGTAGGCAAGGACTAGTTAGACCGAAGGATCTGTTTCCACCCTGTATGATAATGACAACTTCCCCATTATATGGAAACACCGATTTCATTATTTAATTTTCTCCACTGGACAAGATTCTACGGACCAATCAAAATATTGTTTTTCAGTTGGTGTGCAATCATCTTTTTTCCAAATTCTTTGAAGATTTTCACCTCTTCTACATAGCTTCATTAAAAGGGTATTGTTGCGAACTTGTGTAGAGTACTCATGAAATAGAAGACAGAATGTTAGAATTTGTTTGTAAAAACGAAAGGGGGAAGAGTGTGTGGTCCCTTTAAGAGGGTACTATGCTTTTCTAAGCTTGAAGATCAAAAAGACTGCAAGCAGTTGCAGATGCGCAAATAGTTTTGAAATTGAAGCATGTGTATCAATTGGCTGTGTGGTTGGCAAACTAGGCTTGTTTTGATGTTAAGGCAACCAGCTTGAATATCAGCCAATTAATTCAATTGGCCCTAGATACCAAAACCTAATTAAATTTCAGTCTGATGGTGTATTCAACCTAGGACCAATCCTATTATAAGAAAATTGACAGGTCATCAAGGGTATATAAGAAGAGGGTTTATGACAATCAATGTAAGAGTGAACTGCTATCGGAGAGCAAAACTCTGGCTTTCACAGAAATCTTAAAGCTCTCTAAGCACCATCTAGAAGGTACTGTGGTACTCTTAGCTAATATTCCTGACACGTGGGTTCGATGAAAAAGGAGTTCTTAACTGAAGAATAGTGGAAAAGGCGTGGAACATTCTGGAAGATGCATCCTGCCTCTAGTTTTGAGAGCCTAAGTTTTAATTTATTTTTCTTATTACTTTGGTTTATATAAGTGGGACTTCTATTTATTAGAACAGCACGTCATTAGAATTTTGTTCAGTTCAGGAATAGTTAGTAGCTAAGGGGGAATTGTTTGGTTTGTTAGTAGGTCTGTTAATTTGTTCACTGTTAAATAAATTGTTACTTGTTGCTTATAAAGTGAGTATCAGGGATTTCTTTCATTTAACCTCTCCTTTATAACCGATTGAGAAGTGATAGGCAGGTTATCCTATTTTACCCACTTCCTTTAGCAGATCACGAGGCAAGGCAAGGGGAGCTTCTCTGGGTGTGTCGGTTTTAATTATCAGAGGGGTTTGACATATCCCCCATAACAGATTGGGAGCTCGAGTCCGGGATCTGGCTGGTTTGTGTACAAGATCTGAATGGATTTGGACAGATTTGAGCAGATTTGGGGTGCGAAAGGCCGTAGCAGATTTAGACAGGCTTTGGAATTAGTCTCCTAGATCTTTAAATAAAACTTAGGTGAGAAGTGGAAAATCTGTTTAATTTAGGTTACTTGTCGACTGGGACAACACCAAAATTTTGGGACAAGCTAAGCAGAGACAGGCACAGGAATTCCGAGAAGCCTGGCACTCCACAAAGCATGCTATTAATAAACCCACACAACCCGACCCCATGTACGCTCCACTACAAAGGAAAAACCGAAAGTGAGGCAATCCAGCTCAACGGACTCCAGAGTTTAAAAACACACCACTTCGTCGGAGGCTGCACTGAGGATGTTACCCAGCATAGTAGCGAAACGTCTGCGGAACAACAAACCAGCTTGGCGAGCCAACCAACTTCAACACCCACAACCTGAGCTACAAATCTACTCCAAAACCTTAGGCTCTTAACATTGCTTAAGAGGTTCTGAGGTATGAGGATGCTTCCCAAATTTGCTGGGAAAGTTTAGAAGGACAGAGGAAAGATGTATGTTTAGACGTAACATACAGGTTAGATTTGGGTTTAATTAGGGACAAGAGGAAAGCTGAGATTGTAATGGAGCTCGCTAAGCATTTAGGTATACCAGAGAAACAGTCAAGTGCAGCGGACTTGGAAAAAATTTAAATTGCAAAGGAGACAACTGGAGTTAGAGAATGAAAGTAAGGAGAGATAGTTTGAACTACAGTTAAAAGCAGAAGAGAAAGAATGGGAAAGAAGATTCCTAGCTAGGAGAAAAGAGGGAAAAAATATGCGAGTTGCAAAGATGAAGTTGGAACTTGAAACAAAAAGACTTCAAATGACCTAGGTAAAAGTACCAGATAGAAGTGATGATGAGCAAACTCATTGTAGCCAACAGTCTGGTTAGGATATTTA